GGATATTCAAACTCATACATTGTAAGTGGATGACAAACAGAAGATACTAAAGGGATATTCAAACTCATACATTGCAAGTCGATGACAAACTAAGTGGATGAAAAACAGAAGATACCAAAGGGATATTCAAACTCATACATTGTAAGTGGATGACAAACAGAAGATACAAAAGGGATATTCAAACTCATACATTGTAAGTCAATGACAAACAGAAGATACCAAAGGGCTATTCAAACTCATACATTGTAAGTCAATGACAAACTGACAATGTCATGGAAAAAAATAACACTAAAGCATTTTGATTATCAAAATCAATCTATCCAAAATGTGACTACATGTATCATATTTCTTATTTCTTATGACAAACAGAAGATACCAATGGGATATTCAAACTCATACATTGTAAGTGGATGACAAACAGAAGATACCAAATGGATATTCAAACTCATACATTGTAAGTCTATGACAAACAGAAGATACCAAAGGGATATTCAAACTCATACATTGTAAGTCGATGACAAACAGAAGATACCAAAGGGATATTCAAACTCATACATTGTAAGTGGATGACAAACAGAAGATACAAAAGGGATATTCAAACTCATACATTGTAAGTTGATGACAAACAGAAGATACCAATGGGATATTCAAACTCATACATTGTAAGTGGATGACAAACAGAAGATACTAAAGGGATATTCAAACTCATACATTGTAAGTCGATGACAAACAGAAGATACCAATGGGATATTCAAACTCATACATTGTAAGTGGATGACAAACAGAAGATACTAAAGGGATATTCAAACTCATACATTGTAAGTGGATGACAAACAGAAGATACTAAAGGGATATTCAAACTCATACATTGTAAGTGGATGACAAACAGAAGATACCAATGGGATATTCAAACTCATACATTGTAAGTGGATGACAAACAGAAGATACCAAAGGGATATTCAAACTCATACATTGTAAGTCTATGACAAACAGAAGATACCAAAGGGATATTCAAACTCATACATTGTAAGTCTATGACAAACAGAAGATACCAATGGGATATTCAAACTCATACATTGTAAGTGGATGACAAACAGAAGATACCAATGGGATATTCAAACTCATACATTGTAAGTGGATGACAAACAGAAGATACCAAAGGGCTATTCAAACTCATACATTGTAAGTGGATGACAAACAGAAGATACCAAAGGGATATTCAAACTCATACATTGTAAGTCGATGACAAACAGAAGATACCAATGGGATATTCAAACTCATACATTGTAAGTGGATGACAAACAGAAGATACTAAAGGGATATTCAAACTCATACATTGTAAGTGGATGACAAACAGAAGATACTAAAGGGATATTCAAACTCATACATTGTAAGTGGATGACAAACAGAAGATACTAAAGGGATATTCAAACTCATACATTGTAAGTCGATGACAAACTAAGTCGATGACAAACATAAGATACCAAAGGGATATTCAAACTCATACATTGTAAGTGGATGACAAACAGAAGATACTAAAGGGATATTCAAACTCATACATTGCAAGTCGATGACAAACTAAGTGGATGAAAAACAGAAGATACCAAAGGGATATTCAAACTCATACATTGTAAGTGGATGACAAACAGAAGATACAAAAGGGATATTCAAACTCATACATTGTAAGTCAATGACAAACAGAAGATACCAAAGGGCTATTCAAACTCATACATTGTAAGTCAATGACAAACTGACAATGTCATGGAAAAAAATAACACTAAAGCATTTTGATTATCAAAATCAATCTATCCAAAATGTGACTACATGTATCATATTTCTTATTTCTTATGACAAACAGAAGATACCAATGGGATATTCAAACTCATACATTGTAAGTGGATGACAAACAGAAGATACCAAATGGATATTCAAACTCATACATTGTAAGTCTATGACAAACAGAAGATACCAAAGGGATATTCAAACTCATACATTGTAAGTCGATGACAAACAGAAGATACCAAAGGGATATTCAAACTCATACATTGTAAGTGGATGACAAACAGAAGATACAAAAGGGATATTCAAACTCATACATTGTAAGTTGATGACAAACAGAAGATACCAATGGGATATTCAAACTCATACATTGTAAGTGGATGACAAACAGAAGATACTAAAGGGATATTCAAACTCATACATTGTAAGTCGATGACAAACAGAAGATACCAATGGGATATTCAAACTCATACATTGTAAGTGGATGACAAACAGAAGATACTAAAGGGATATTCAAACTCATACATTGTAAGTGGATGACAAACAGAAGATACTAAAGGGATATTCAAACTCATACATTGTAAGTGGATGACAAACAGAAGATACCAATGGGATATTCAAACTCATACATTGTAAGTGGATGACAAACAGAAGATACCAAAGGGATATTCAAACTCATACATTGTAAGTCTATGACAAACAGAAGATACCAAAGGGATATTCAAACTCATACATTGTAAGTCTATGACAAACAGAAGATACCAATGGGATATTCAAACTCATACATTGTAAGTGGATGACAAACAGAAGATACCAATGGGATATTCAAACTCATACATTGTAAGTGGATGACAAACAGAAGATACCAAAGGGCTATTCAAACTCATACATTGTAAGTGGATGACAAACAGAAGATACCAAAGGGATATTCAAACTCATACATTGTAAGTCGATGACAAACAGAAGATACCAATGGGATATTCAAACTCATACATTGTAAGTGGATGACAAACAGAAGATACTAAAGGGATATTCAAACTCATACATTGTAAGTGGATGACAAACAGAAGATACTAAAGGGATATTCAAACTCATACATTGTAAGTCGATGACAAACAGAAGATACCAATGGGATATTCAAACTCATACATTGTAAGTGGATGACAAACAGAAGATACCAAAGGGATATTCAAACTCATACATTGTAAGTCTATGACAAACAGAAGATACCAAAGGGATATTCAAACTCATACATTGTAAGTCTATGACAAACAGAAGATACAAAAGGGATATTCAAACTCATACATTGTAAGTTGATGACAAACAGAAGATACCAATGGGATATTCAAACTCATACATTGTAAGTGGATGACAAACAGAAGATACTAAAGGGATATTCAAACTCATACATTGTAAGTCGATGACAAACAGAAGATACCAATGGGATATTCAAACTCATACATTGTAAGTGGATGACAAACAGAAGATACTAAAGGGATATTCAAACTCATACATTGTAAGTGGATGACAAACAGAAGATACTAAAGGGATATTCAAACTCATACATTGTAAGTGGATGACAAACAGAAGATACCAATGGGATATTCAAACTCATACATTGTAAGTGGATGACAAACAGAAGATACCAAAGGGATATTCAAACTCATACATTGTAAGTCTATGACAAACAGAAGATACCAAAGGGATATTCAAACTCATACATTGTAAGTCTATGACAAACAGAAGATACCAATGGGATATTCAAACTCATACATTGTAAGTGGATGACAAACAGAAGATACCAATGGGATATTCAAACTCATACATTGTAAGTGGATGACAAACAGAAGATACCAAAGGGCTATTCAAACTCATACATTGTAAGTGGATGACAAACAGAAGATACCAAAGGGATATTCAAACTCATACATTGTAAGTCGATGACAAACAGAAGATACCAATGGGATATTCAAACTCATACATTGTAAGTGGATGACAAACAGAAGATACTAAAGGGATATTCAAACTCATACATTGTAAGTGGATGACAAACAGAAGATACTAAAGGGATATTCAAACTCATACATTGTAAGTCGATGACAAACAGAAGATACCAATGGGATATTCAAACTCATACATTGTAAGTGGATGACAAACAGAAGATACCAAAGGGATATTCAAACTCATACATTGTAAGTCTATGACAAACAGAAGATACCAAAGGGATATTCAAACTCATACATTGTAAGTCTATGACAAACAGAAGATACCAATGGGATATTCAAACTCATACATTGTAAGTGGATGACAAACAGAAGATACCAATGGGATATTCAAACTCATACATTGTAAGTCGATGACAAACAGAAGATACCAAAGGGCTATTCAAACTCATACATTGTAAGTGGATGACAAACAGAAGATACTAAAGGGATATTCAAACTCATACATTGTAAGTCTATGACAAACAGAAGATACCAAAGGGCTATTCAAACTCATACATTGTAAGTCAATGACAAACTGACAATGTCATGGAAAAAAATAACACTAAAGCATTTTGATCATCAAAATCAATCTATCCAAAATGTGACTACATGTATCATATTTATTAATACAAATCAAAACAGCTGATGATCAATCTTGGTTTCATAAGCATAAATAAAAGAAGAATGTGTCTGAGGATACGAATGCCCCTGCTCAAGCTTTGCAATTATAAAAAGTTAAAAAGGGGCATAACACTAGAACGACAGTGACTCACTGCCCAAATTCGAACTCTGTCTGCTAGTTTTGGTCCTTAGCATTGTGTATGAGTTTCATAAAATTTGGTTGGGAAAACTAAAGTTAGAGTGTGGATATGAAAAATTGTGCAATTTTCCAAGTTATAAAGGGGCATAACTCTTAAATGGTAAATGACTCACTGCCCAAATTCGAACTATGATGGCAAGTATTGATTCTTAGCATTGTGCATGAGTTTCATCAAATTTACATGAGGTAAACTTAAGTTAGAGTGCAGAAACGAAAATGGGACGGATGGAAAGACAGAAGGACGGTCATGGGTAACACTTAATGCCCCATCACCTACGGCAGGGGCATAAAAATAACTTTGATTATATTATTTGTAAATAGAAATAAATATGCTAATATTAATTATTTCTTTTTATTGTATTCTGACACTTTTAAAGTTGTGTAAATGTACTGTGAGAGTAATTATAAAAACATACCTGTTTCTTGAGTATCTTGACATTCAATCTTTATACTTTCAGTGATATACTTTTTCCCATCCCTCACAAGCCAAATCACACCTCCAACTAATTGCTGAAATTGTTCAGCAATCAAATCTATTTCAGATAAATAACTGCAATAACAAAATAATGACAATTAGTTTTTTATTAATGCCTTTCTCTGCTTTTTATGTTTACTAGATTGACCTTGGGCACTCAAACGACATTTCCTTAAGTGATAACATGTATCATAATGCCAAAGATAACACTATTGACATTCTTCCAAAATTAAATTCACTTACTTTTACCTAAATGGTGGTTTAAGTAAAGCTGGCAGATTCATTCCCCCTTTTCCCATGTAAATGAATGGCACTGTTATATTTTCTATAATTTTAAATATTCACTCTTTCAGCCCATCTTCAAACAGTATATTACCCTCATATTAAAAACTCACTAAAATCCCTCTCGCAGGGATGGTAAAAAAAAGTTCATATTCTCACTCCCAGGTCAAAGATTTACATAAATTCAGTATTTCCACCCAAAGATTTACATAAATTCAGTATTTTCACCCAAAGATTTACATAAATTCAGTACTTCAACCCAAAGATTAACATAATTCAGTATTTCCACCTTAAGATTAACATAAATTCAATATTTCCACCCAAAGATTTACATAAATTCAGTATTTCCACCTCAAAATTAAAAACCCCAAAAATTTCCATTACTGAGCATCATCATATCACTTTTGTAAAACTATTCCATAACTTTTTATTCCCTATGTCTGAACTAACCAATTCAGGAGTATTTACATGCATCTAATTTGTTAACCTTATATTGGATTGCTGTCTCATCTACATTTATTGTACTTCTCTTTTAAGTTATCATAATTTTTCAGTTTTACATTCTTAGCAAATTTGTTTTTGAAACTCTGCATTTTGGTCCATCTTTTTATTCTTTTTTCTTTATTGTCTATAACTTTTTGAATAAAGATAACTTGTTACTTAAAACATTGCCTGTCAGCAGCTAAAAGTAAGTAAAGCAATGTAAAATACCATAAGCTGAAAATACCATAATATACTGTGCATTACCCAAAAAATAAATGTCCATCCTTTGTTATACCAAAATGTGCATTTTGTACTCCATTTGAATCCAATACTAGCTTTCCATCACTAATTACATTTCCTGAAAAATTCAAAATCAAAAGCATCAATTTCTTTTATACATATTTCTCAAAATTATGACTTTGACAGCAAACATAATGATTTTATGCTTTCTTCAGTAAAAAAAATATAAATAAACAAATGCTTGGAAAGAAAACACTACAAACATACAGTAGGACACATTTCAATAGCCATAAGAAGAATATTTAAAGCCACCTCTCATCAATTTTACCTGAAGAAATTGGCCTGTAGATGATAAAAAAATATGTAAAAATTGTAAACAAAGCATTGTAACTTACATGTGTATCTAATGATACTCTTAGATATTCAACAGTCCAGCAACAATGGTAGCTACCAAGTAGTACAACATTTAAATTACACATACTGTTTATGATGCATTGGAAGAACTAGATTTCTGGAATGCCAATATCCAAAATTTCAGAAACCAAAAGTATAAAATTACATAATGCAATATATTTTTTTTGTTAAAGGTAACACCATATAAGATCAACTTTGCCTGAGGGAATTACAAGAAATTTACTATAATAAATTAAAAAAAAAAACCTCATGAAAATGGGGTTTGCAGGTTTGCAGCAAAATACTATCTCCCTTCCTTAGAGATATTTACAGCAATACCTGTAACCAATAAGATCCACCTGAACAAATTCAAACTGACAGAATGAATGTAAATACAGTTAAGTACATTTAAGATGTAAAGGTATGCAGTGTACTGCCTAAAATTTTTGCTTGTTTTTTTGCACTGATTTATAAAAAATAATGTGTATCTTTAATTATTTTTGATTTCACAGTCCTCCCTTCAACAGTTTTCTTTTTCATTGTAGTCTCAGACTGGTGCTTTTAAACTTAAACTTGTACTGTCAGTTATTTCGTATCTAAATACAAGTAAATCACAATGAAATAAAACTATTTTTTTCAGCAGGTTTAGTTACAATAAATAGCTGAATTAAATATTTCTGTAGTGTAAATAACTTTTTAGATGTTTTATTGTAAATTACATGCTTTTAATGGTGCTTTCAATTCTGTTGAAAGTTAGAGGACTTTTCGAAAATATACACTACACTTCCACACAATCTTGAAGTAGTGACGTTTTGGATTTCAATGAAAAGATAATATATGTATAATAAGTAAAAGAGAGGTGAAAGATACCAAAGGGACATTCAAACTCATAAGTTGACAAAATAAACTGATAACGCCATGGGCCGATGATGCCATGGCTAAAAAAAGAAAAAGACAAACAGACAAACAATAGTACACAAAACACAACATAGAAAACTAAAGACTGAGCAACATTATTCAATCAGGAATCTTGTAACCATAAACATGATAAATGACTTAAGTCCTTTACTAAATGCTTTCATTTTTTTTATTCTTACATTAGGTGAATACTTGTATATATATGAAACAGAAGTCTTAGTTCTAAGAGAATCCATAAAAGCTTTAAGAGCATAAAAAATCTGCTTCAAATATAAAAACAAACTGTTACCTAGACATGATCCAGTATGTGTATTAAAGAATCCAGCATTGATTGCCAGTAAACAGCTCTTTCGTTCGGCTGATTTTGGTACTGTAGACCTGGTCTGGTCCTCACATCCTCCTTTGTACCCTGGTTCTAATACAGATATAGTTCTAATTGGGTTGTTAACCACAGTAAAATGAATCTGTGTGTCACGTTTAATAGACTGCCCAACAGATTTAATTGCATGGTGAGTTTCAGCTATAGGATGAATGATATCAGAACTTCCATACCCATGTGCCTTATGTTTAGACTTCGTAACATTGCCAAATAAAATATGCTGACAGTCTCGTGTATGACGATGGCCGTGGTATTTTAAGAGATGACTAGTAAAATAACTCTGTATTAAATCGTCATGTTCATCCACTGACTCACACTGTATATGGAAAAATATACTGCAAAATAAAACAAATGTCTCAAAATAACTCAAATATTGTTTTGGAGTACTTTCTAGTATGAAATGTTGTAAAAATTGCATGCCAACCGGTAACCTTTTTTTATTAAGTTGCTGGCGACTGTCAGAGGCTATGGAACAATAAATGTTGGAGTTACAAAAAAAAATTGTGTAGCTTGTGAATAATAGTATGACTAGTGGACTTTCAATTCAACTTGCACTTTAACAGCAGGCGAAGGCTTCACCATCGGCCATTCAAGCTTATGAACATCGGGAGAAATAAGAAAATTTAATTACTGTATAAAAGATTTGTTGCAAATTAAGCCACAGCTATGATTGCAGCATTTGAGTTTTAAGAATATGTGGTGCAATTGGCATACAATGTTGGTTCCCATCAAATACAAAGTAAAGCCATGGATTCAATAGTCACATTTAAGCTTTAAGAACATATGAGTAACATAATTAAAGTAAGCCATGGTTTTGATGGCAGCTATTGAGCTAAAAAAAAATACAAGTATGTGGAGAAATAAACATACAATTTTTTGAGAAACAGAACTTATCTTGAAAAACTTGATTCTTTATTATTGACACAACTTACTAGAAGATACACATATACTGTAGACTTGAATATTTCCATTGTAAACTTTTCATATTTATGTAGAAACTTTTCAGCACCTACATATAGAGTATCTATTTCATAGTTGATACAATATTCCTTTTTTACCAGGATTCCTTTCATACCTGCAGGGTTATTCCTTAGAAGGAAGCTACTAAACCAAGGGTTCTTAATGTTAAGGGCAGACAATACAGCTACAATGGAGGTAATGACGTTACTAATGTAAAATGTTGATTTTGGCGATGTCATACTGTGACATATTGGAAAAAGATGGATTTTTCAACTGATTTTAATTTTAATATTTAGCAAGAACATCATGAACATGGACCCCCCTTTTTTTTAAATGACATTTAGCTTGATTATGTAGACAGATTATTTGTATAAATTTTTATAAACAAATCGCCAATGCATTTTTTTAAATAAGATAAATATACAGCAAAAAATGCTGTTTTTTTCTAAAATCACGAAAATTCAATAATTTATTTCCAAGTGATTTTTACTTGTCATCATGGTCATGAGCAGCAGTACTGGTTCATTTGAGAAGGAAATGTTTATTGTTTTGAAGCATAGGAGATTGTAATTTTTCCAGATCTCTATTAAATATTTTTTAATATTTTGGTTCTGGAGGTCATAGTTTTAGACATTTTATGTCCTTTCAGCAACACAATTGCTGCAGACAGTATTATTTGGGTGAGTTCAGAACTGAGATTAAAGTTTCTTGTGTGCAAGTTCATTGGGTATCAAAATGGTGGGCTTAATAATGCAAAGAAAGAAAACTCTATACAGGAAACAAAAAGCGTAGTTCTGAAGTTAAAAAGGGAATTGAATGAAAAGGAAACATATCATTAAATCATAGTCTGATAGTTGTTATTAACAATTTCACCAGTTTTGGCAATACACATTGGGCACCTCGAGCCATTTATTCTTCATTACAGGGTTTTGACTACATTTATGGTTATCCACCTCATTTGAGCTCTAATGAATAGTTGTCTCATTGACAATCATGCATGCAACATCTCCTTATTTTTTACACTTATTTGCCACTTCATAATCTGCGACACATAGCCGAAGATATTAAGACATTTGAACTATTGACTTCATACAGCAATCACTTTTGCATTGTTGCATCTGAAAATTTCTCTTGCGACATCCAAATTTTACTGGAACGGCTGTGTGATGACAAATAATGGCGGACCAATAGTTAAATGTATCTTAATACATGTACATACAATGTATCATTATCGAGTTCCTAGGTTCTAGCTGCAGAACCATAGCTCTTATGGTACTTCAGATATTTTTTGTATTTGAAGTATCCCAATGACGATAAGAGCTACTTATATGGTATATATGGGTATATGCTTCAAGCCACAAGGAACAGAAATAAATTTTTACCAAAACAGAAAAAATCTGTTTCTTTCCTTAATTTCCCACTGGTATACGCTATTTGTCCGCCAATACTGGACATCACAAAGGTTCCCCGAAAATTTTGACATCACATTAGAAAATAACTGAAGCCACAATGGAATAAAGATTTTTGTATGACGTCAACATGCAGTTCAAGCGGTGCAAATTTTCAAATAGCAATATGCCGATAAGGATTCAGGGTTATTATTTTTTTTTTTAATATATTGGTGTTTTACTTTAGTTTACTGTGTAAAAGGTGTCTCAGTAAAAACATAGGGTTTAATCACTCAGCCTTCACGGTTAACTTTTAAGTCCACAAGCCCAAAGCTCAATTTTTTCAAAATTTTAGTTGGATTCTGTTGGCTTGTAGAGAAGAATTTTACAAGTCAGAAAGCAATTTTACAAGCCAATGCCGTAGGACTTGTGGTTAATCATGAAGACTGATCACTGGTTTTCGAAAAATTGTTGCTCAAAAGTGACGCATTTTCATGATTTTGATTCTTTGTCAATGACAATGTTTGAGTTTTACGCACAAATTTGAACCTCATATTGTACCTTAGAACATATAGCAACACATAACTAGAACAACGATAACATCGTCTTTGCATTTCTTAATGCATGTAGTCAACATAGTGGTGTTAATAAATATCCTGCATCCACATCAGCGATCACTTCTGTCATCTGCATTATTCTTTCGGAATTCAAGAAAATATGTTCCGAGAGGCGGAAGTAATTGTTTGTTGTGTTTCCGGTTCTTTTTTCTTCTTTGGTCAACAACTGGAACATTGTCATTGTCTTAGATTTGTTGTGACATAAAATCACCAGGCTGGAATCAGTCCAAAATCTTATGTATACAATGAAACTTAATTTTAATGGCTGTAGCAATTAATCAAACTGCTCAATAATTTGAAAGGAAAAATAGATAGTGTTTTTCTTACATAATTTTTTCTATATATTGTGTCAGTTAGTGAATTATACCTGAAACTGTTTAATATGATAACAAAGACTGTTCATTGTGATTCTAAGACAAAATGTGTTAATGGGTTCGAGTAATTCTAGGAGAAGCAGAACTATGAGCACAAGTAGTGAGACTGAAACAGAAGTTTTGGGAGCTCAAGGTGGAGCAGATTATCCATCAGCAAGAGGAGCAGATTATCCATCACCAAGAGGAATAGATTGTCCACCACCAAGAGGAGCAGGTGGATCAGATTGTCCGGCACCAGGAGGAGCAAACTCTTCAACCAGAACTGGCAGCGACGAGGATCAACACGATTTACAAGCAATACTGGCATACCTAATACGCAGGTAGCTAGACATACATTGCATCTTCAAGATATTTTGCGTAGCATAATAGTTTATTATATATATTTTTATATAATCATGATAATGGATTTGTTATTCAAAGCTAATAATACAATTGGCCATTTTGTTATGCATCGTCGGAATGCAGAAAAGTTTTTTCTATGTAAGTGTATTGTGCACAGGTAAATTTTTATCATAAGGAATAACATAAATTAAATAACATACGTGAGGCAACAGAAGAAGTGGTTTGACCTATATCATTGTACAGATCTAGTTATCCAGGAAATTATTTTATAGCTTTAGTTCTTCCTGGGACTAATATACATGTATATCAATTGGTTCTAGGTTCCTCTGAAACTTTTTTATGGTTCTGTACTGTTGTTTCAAAATTATATATTACATGTATATATGTACGAAATGTTTGATGAATGACTGAATGAACATGTACAGGATCAGTGAGTTTGTCATTAAAGCTAATTGCAATGTTATGCTCCAGCTACTAATGGACTGGGGGAATGTGCAGTCCAAAAGCAAGCCCATGGAAACATTTGCTGTTTCTATATTTTTTAAGCAACAATTAATAGGTCAGATATACATGTACATGTATAATCATGCCATTCTGAAGTTGTGTTACTTTCGCAGAAAATTTTTATTGGCAGCAATTTCGGAAAACAAAACCATGACTTCTAAATACATGTTCAATGTACATGTATACAAATTTGTATTGAATAGATCATGTGACCTACATGTATCAGATATTGTTGGTTGTGAACTTCACACTAAATCAAATAACCTCTGAACTTTTAATTATCAGTATTTATTAAGTACAAAATGTAAGACACAGAGAAAAGAAGAAAATTGAAATTTTCAAACAATAACAGGGTCTGATAATTTTTACTTGCGTCCCCAAAAACTAAAGTAGGTCTAGTAAACTGTTGGCCTACCAGGGTTCTCACTAAGGTGAGTCCATGAGTCCAGGACTCATGAAAATCTGTCTGGACTCATCATTTTCAAAACTGGTGAGTCCAAAGATGTATCAATATTGTAAAATGTTTGATCAACTGAACACACATTTCATTATTTTATAGCAAAAGTTTAAAAATAATCTAAATTTGATGTCATTTGCTTGCTCTATTTTGTCATGGCTAGTGAAATAATAAATCAGAGGCAATAAAAAATAAATCTCACTGTTGGAATTACCATTGCCAAAAATGATGAGACCCTGGACTTGCCTTGGAAAATCCTTAGTGAGAACCCTGGCTTACATACGTCTGTCAGTTAGAAAGACTTTTGTTAGATAAATTTCATCAAAATTTTTCTATGCCTCAGTGAAAGGGAATGATTTTTTACATATATTTGGTCTGCATAATGTCAAGTTGTAGTGGGTAAGCAATTTTTAAATCTACTGTGCAGCCACTTCCTGTTTGATGATAGTTAGAAATTTTACAACACACACTCAGACATTGTACAAGGACAACTTTTGTCAAATTTTTCTTGACTTCTTTGTGAAGGGAATGATTTAAATTTGGTTTACAGCTTCGCTTCATAATGTTGAGTTGAAGTGGGGTTTATATTTTGTACATCTGATGTGCAGCCACTTCTGTTGGCCAATAGTTTAAAATTTTACAACACTCATCATGCTCATTGTACAAGGAAATTTGTGACTGAATTTAATGTCATTTACATTATTTCATTGGTCAATATTAACTTTTCATGATTATTTCATTCCATATTACTTTAAGTAATTATATAACAGATAAGCTGTCTTTGGTCTTTTATTTCTTATTATGTTTAGTAGTCGGTCTAACCTTGAACTGATGTTTCTAGTTCATTGAACAATGTTAAGTTTCTCAAGATTACACATAATACATGTACATTGTAATATGTACATGTACATGTAGTAGTTGGTCTAACCTTGAACTGATGTTTCTAGTTCATTGAACAATTTTAATGTTCTCAAGATTACACATACATTGTATGTACATGTACATGTAGTAGTCGGTCTAACCTTGAACTGATGTTTCTAGTTCATTGAACAGTTTTAAGTTTCTCAAGATTACACATATGTACACAAATGTACATGTACATGTAGTAGTCGGTCTAACCTTGAACTGATGTTTCTAGTTCATTGAACAATTTTAAATTTCTGAAGATTACACATATGTATATGTACATGTAGTAGTCTGTCTAACCTTGAACTGATGTTTCTAGTTCATTGAACAATTTTAAGTTTCTCAAGATTACACATATGTACATGTACATGTAGTAGTTGGTCTAACCTTGAACTGATATTTCTAGTTCATTGAACAATATTAAGTTTCTCAAGATTACACATATGTACATGTAGTAGTTGGTCTAACCTTGAACTGATGTTTCTAGTTCATTGAACAATTTTAAGTTTCTCAAGATTACACATATGTACATTTAGTCGATGAATCTTTTCATTTACTGTACAGTAATAAACATGATATTTCATTTATTGCTATGAAATACATTTTATCATGATTTCTCAGTCAAATAAAAACCGATATTTCAAAATATGTGAAATAAATCCTGTATTTTCACTCCTTTTACGTCATACAACAATTTTGTGTTGTCAATGAAGTTACATCAAAAGTTTTAAACGGAGTGAGAGCAAGAAGACAAACATTTTGTTTCTTGCAATTTCTATTTTAATTTCATTAATAGTCAATGTAATTAAAAGCATAACTGTTCCAAGAATTTGAATGTCAAAAAATAATCAACCCGTGACCAACAACACTGATAATTCAATTACACTCTACATGATTATGAATTACAAATGTAATGTGTTTGGTCTGGAGTTGAATGTATATTTTTCATTATTTGAAATCCATTTGACAAGATTCACTTTACATTGACCTCATTTTCATACTTCATTGTTCAAAGCTAAATTTGTATGTATATGTAGTAATGTCTAGATATATATATATATATACAAGTCTAAATTGAAAACAACGTTTAAACTTATGATTGCGTTGGATAAAACAATTTTTTATACGTGTGCATGCAAAACTAATTTCTTGGTAGAGGGGTCTAAATACAGCACAAACAACATTTTCCAAAAGACCAAAAAAGTGAAAGAGTATATTTTAACAAAACGCATTTGACTAGCAGGTCGAACAACAGATGTTCTTAAACCCTGCTGACTGCCATGGTGATTGCCAAATAAACAGATCACCAGATGTAACAAAATGGATCTTAATTATTAATTTAATACCAAACAGAAAACAATAAACTTGCGGAAAAGATGGTATACCGCAAACATAAGGTGCAAAAATTGGTACACCATATCAGGATTTTGACAATTTTAAAATGTCTCTTCAGTGATGTTAGGAATCGAAACGGTATTTGGAAGGCCATAAAATTTACCTCAATTTAGGATTTACTCTTGAATTTGGATTATATAAACCCGAAGGCAAATATAATACAAGCCCAAATGCAAATGAAAAAATATAAACAAGTCTAAATTGAAAACAACATTCAAACCTATGATTGAGTTGGATAAAAACCGCAATTATATATATATATAAATATAGAACATTAATCGATGAAGCTTGTATAGCTTTAACACTCATGTTTTGGTTTGATATCTTTTTACAGTTCCATGGAACTATTTCCCTTTCAAAATGAAAGTACTGTTCTTCCTTCAGTTGTGTTGCCATGCAATTTATCATTGCCATTGTTATCTCTTTCCAAAGACTTTCATAAATTGCATAGATCTTCAGGTAAAAATTTGCATTGGTTTTACAGATACACAAAAAATGTATCATGTTTCATTCATTGTACATGTAGTTTTAGTCCCGTAGTTATAAGTTCAGACATGGGGGCCTCAGTGGTCAAGTGGTCTATCTATGGTGATTACTAGACCAGTTTTCCTATCAAATGTTGATGGCTCTCTCCGGGTATTCCAGCTTTCCTATCAAATGTTGATGGCTCTCTCCGGGTATTCCAGCTTTCCTATCAAATGTTGATGGCTCTCTCCGGGTATTCCAGCTTTCCTATCAAATGTTGATGACTCTCTCTGGGTATTCCAGCTTCCTCCACCAATAATGGGCTGCCAACCCATGATATGGCCATGGTCCCTGAAAGTACAACTGTCGTTTTAACACCAATAAATCATAAAAAAGTATATAGTTCAGGGCAGTATATATTTGTCTCAACCATTCATGGAAAAGTTGATTTTAACAGAAAGTTTTAAATTTATTACCAAGGACAGAATGACAATTCATATATTTTAGTAATAATGTACTCAAATATAAGCTGTTTCACTTGACTTCATCTAATTCTTTTATCAATTGATATTTGATCACTATTGAAATTTGAAGATATTTAATTTTTTTAAATCTGCAAACTGAACAAAAGTAAACTATCGATTTAATTTTGCACATTATAAGGTATATAGATAATTAAATTTTTCTACCTTCTAAGTTACATTCAAGGTAAAGGTTGTAAATATTTACTGGGCATATCTAGATTTTCTTACATTTAGTATGTGTCATTATTTAGAACACAAAAGTATTGACCTATAGAAGTTCAAAAAACAGAATAACGAACCGGGTAGTAAATATTTACTACAATTGTCAAGGAACAATGATTTTATACCATATTTGATTCAAAGACATAAATTTGTTTCTTTGCATATATTTTGTTTAGCATTATTTTAGAAATCAAGTAATAAATTAAAGAAATTTCCTTTAGAAAAAATATAATGAACATTTCTGCATATGAATGCCCTTAAATTATGACTGTAAAGTGATACAATATTGTGTATGTCAATGACAATGTCCACCTTCCACCTGCATGATCTGCACAAATCTCACCATTCATAGGATTTTGTTTTTTTTTCCATTTTGTATAATATGTGAGTTTGCTTTCACTACATTGTGAAAGTGAAACACAATGTAAGGATTAGTGCCATTTTTAATTTTGAAAATTTTACTTTTGCTGTTCCGGAGTAATGAAACTTTGTTTTAAGTATTTCCAATGACCTTCACATTGTGAGGCCTTATAGATGTATCATACATGTTTGAAGCAGGAAGAATGGGGTATCATCCCAAATACCTGAAAAAATTTTAAGCATTCTGAAAAATTAATCATTAATTCCCTAGTCCCGATAAGGGTAAATCCTGAATTCCTTCAAAATTAAAGGTTATATCCTGACATCCAAAAAAAGGTCATTCTGACCCTCATGTATCTATATCTTATCGTCGTATTATTTGGAAAAGATTTGATGTTGATTTTCCTTGAAAAAAATTTACACAAATTGATATGCATTTTCTAAATATGCATGGAAAAATATACTTTGATGATTTTTCATTGACTAAGGCCTTCAGACATAAAATTAGCTATCGTAGAGCAGCAGAATGACTGACTTTTCGTGATATTTCATTTTGAAATTTGCATGTTTATTATGTAAAAACAAAAAAATTTGTATTTCAATACTTTTCCAAAAAAAAACCAAAAAAACTATATTTTCATCTGTTTTTATACATTGTTACACCTTTCGAAGATGGGACATATATATATTATGGCATGGTCATGCAGCTGTGCCCACTGTTCATCAAAACTCTATACGAAATACTGTCATATATTGAATATGTGTGTATTTATGATTGATAAATGAACAGTCTTCATTTGCCTTGAGTTTTATGCCCCTCAGTGTATACAGTATGTTTTTTCCCCTTAAAATTTATGTAAACTTTTTGATGATGTTAGTCATTTCTCTGCAAATTATAGATGCACATCTTTAGCAATGTTTCTAAAACAAAACCTTAAATTTATTATCTACCTTTGCTACTGTATCGTATTCTCTTAAGGCATACTCTCTCATTTTCATCAGTTTAGAAAAAATATTTAGAAATTGTAAAGGCAACATGACAATTGACAAATTGGTGACAATGCATGTAACTGTAACCATACAAAATTTTAATGATTGTTTCAAATATTTCACCTTCGTGACTGAGTTTAGGTTCATGTAGATTAATAAGGTTACATATTTGTCGTTTAATATTTCTACAAATAATTCCTGAACATTTTTGTAATATAAACTAGTGGCAATGATTTTATGACACATGTTTCTGCAGTAAACATCTACATGTAGGTTCAAGACCAACTTGTTTGGTACAATTTAGTTAAAACATAATATGTTTATAATAGAAAAAACAAACTGGTCAAAATAAGTCTGAAACAGCTACAATAGTGTAAATACAATCTTAAGATTAATTTTGCTTCATGGAGTTGCAATCATATTTTAGTAATACTTATATAATATATAGAATGAAGGTTATTAATATGAATGTAGCATTTAAAAATAAGCCAGTAATAAAGCCCTGCTTATTGTCCCCAGTGCAACATGTTGCGGGGGACATGGAAATACCGGGTGTCCATCTGTCCGATCTTGTTAGCGCTCTAATGTGTACAATTCTTGCCAGATTTTTATGAAATTTATATCATAGGTTTATATTAGCAATGTCTTAGACGAGTTCAAAAATCAGTGCTGATAAATTATTTTTAAAAGAGTTATGCACTTGAAAATATTGATTATATGGAAAATTGCAATGTTATCGCTCTCATGTGTTCAATTCTTGCCAGAATTTTATGAAACTTTTATCATAGGTTTATATCAGCAAGTCTTTGACACTTTCTAAAATAAGTTCTGATCAAATATTTTTTAACGAGTTTTGCCCCATGGAAATATAAATTATAATTGAAATCACATTGCATTTGCTCTGAAGCCTTCATTTCTCTTAGGATATTAATAAAAAGTTTTAAAGAACAAAAAAAAGAGCTTTTTTTAGTTATTGCCCTTGTACCTTGGATAGATAAAATATGTACAATGCGGGGGACATTGGAACTCTGTTCTTTTATTGCTATTGATATTTTATATTTGTTAACTATATTTTGATGGTACATTATAGCTTTGTCTTAGGATAAAGTCAATACACTTTACTAATGCTATACCAGGTCTGTTTTCAGTGGTCAGGTGAGGATAGTTACTCAACACGAAGAGGGTGATGACGATGAAGAATATTCCGATGATTATGAATTCTGTAGCAGTGCTTCAAAACCTCCCAGGCGTAAGTTCTGTACCATTTACATAATAGACATCATAGACATGATAGATTAAGAACCACATTTGTTAGCTCACCAGGCCCTGGGGGCATAAATATTTCCAGCACAATTATCATACTTAGACCCAGGACTGCCACCAGTGTTACACTACAGTTAATGTGGATTTTACTTTACTTTTTCCACCTGCCCCCAGTGTGAAACCAACTCAAATTGAGCATAACATTTAGTAAAAACGTTGAATAAATTTCTTTTTCTTATTTTTCCAAGGTCAGTTCTTATGATTAAAAAGAAATGGCATGTCTACTCTCAAGGGTTAATGGCACAGGGGACATCTAAAGGTTTTCCACAATCCAGCTATTGACGTGTGGAAATGGCAAAATCGAGGTGTAGCTATTGTCATCACTGTTGTTTTCTGTCATTATCTTTTAATTTATATTTTATCTTTGTATCTTAAGTAATGGAAATGATTTAAACTAAAACTTTGCAGAACCAATGTTTTCAAGTCCTGTATATCATTCTGATTTAATAGGGTTCAATATGGGAATATTTCTACATGTGATCCCATATGGAAGCATTTTGAAAGTAATGTTTCGTTCTTTATTTTTGAGACAAATTGAACAATCTTGAGAGGAACAATATGGAAGGTATCAAAAAATCCAATGTGAATCTCATAATTGTACAGATGAGATGCAGTAGTAATGATAGATCATAAGATGTTCGCCTTATGGGATGAGGATTTCTTTACATGTTGTTTTTTAAACAGTTTAATAAAATATTTTACTCCTGTAAAGCATATTCTTGGCCTAACTTCCATTTTGGAAATATGTTGCTAAAACTCTTGTAGGAACAGCAAAAGTCATAATCTAATTTTCATATACATTTGTATGTTTCTTGTTCAATTTGTTTTAATTTTGTAAGCATATAATTACATTTATTTTTTAATGCCATTTATTTAAATTTGCATAAACCACTCTCTATGAATTAGAACACTTTTGTAATGTTCATGGTGGTCAATGTTATTTGGGAAAACTGGAGTGTCAGGTATAATGTACTAACAGGTCATCCTGGTTACACAAAGTATAAAGTGTTGTAATATAGGACATTACAATGTATACTTAACCTGATGATACTAGTTAAATTAGCATGTGCTAGCAAATCTTTGTAAGGCAAGTTTGCAAATTGATCTGGTTTTAATACTTCACATTGAATCTCGCAGAATGATGAACTGTAATTGGTACATTTGCATGACTTACAATATAAATAGCTCTTAAAATATAAGTTGAAATAAAGAAGACTCTATCCGATAGAAAGAATGACAAAAGGAAAAAAATAATCTACATCACCCTTATTGGCATATCTCATTGTATGGAGATTTTTTGGCTCTGACCCCTTGTCATGCTCCATTGACTTTAAAACTTTTGTATAGTATTGTTTGATTAGGTCACTTTTAAGAATAAGTAATATTTTTAGAAAACTTGGACAAAGCTTCTTCAGGATCAAAAGACATATCCAGAGCAAAATTTTAAATATAATTTTTTTTTCCAAATTCATTTCTGCTGAAAAATGATATATTTTTGTTGTACAGTTAACATTTATATACAGTCTGGAATTTTTGTTTTATGATATCAGTAGCTTTGTCAATCCTTCATATAATTCAATGAATCTTGGACAGAAACTTGTTTATGATTAAGAAAAACATCCAAAGAAATATTTAGAAAACATTTTATTTTTAATTTCCCGTTTTTACTGATAGATGGAATTAGATTTTGGCAGTCAACATTACACTTTGACACTGACAGCAGCAATTGCAGTCAAGACAAATGGTTCCGTAAACCTTTACCAATTGTTCACTATAAGTGTTATTTCGAAAGTACTTTGATTATTTGAAAGGTCATCCCATGGTAGTACCTTAAATTTGTGATATTATTCTGTGTTTTATCAGAACTTGAATTTCCTGATGTTGGACTATTTGAAATATAAGAAATAAGAAGATTTGGTCTGATTGCCTATGAGACAACTCTACAAACAGAGACAGAATGACGTAGAAGTTAACAACTATTGTGGATTCATTATTATTCGTTGGATACCAATTTTCGTGGATTTCGTGGGTACAGGTGAACCACGAAATTAAATGTTCAATGAATAACAAATTTTCTAACGGCTAATATGCAGACTTCGGCAAAACCACGAAAATCAAATATCCACGAACATGTAAGTTTTCCTTAATCCACGAAAATTGGTACCCACGAAAATAAATGAATCCACAGTATTGGCCAACTTAATTGGTACAAAATATACTTAACTTTTGTATATTAATATTTGAATCTTATTATATATATATGTGACTTTTTATCTTTCAGCTGATGACAACCCTGACACCAGTAGAATAGATGTAAGTGCTTAGAAAACCTTAAAATGGATTAATACTAAATCCACTACAATTATTAATCGTCTTTAATAGCCTTAGTCTTAATTGAATTATCCAAATAAGTGTACGAATAATTACTATAGTTCATGATAAAATAACTGTTTGTCTATTTGGATTACTCTTATAAGTTTATTATAAATTCATAAATTATCCTTAGTTTCGTATGATTAACCCTTTTTAATGGTGACTAACCCCTTTTCCATTATGACTTACCATGTGTCTATTATGAATTGCTTTTAGCTTATCGTGAATTACCTTTTATTGTGGATAATAAATTACCGTTAGTCCTATAGTCCATGATTGATTAACATTAGTCTCTTTATTAGTCATTATATGTCATCCCTTAAAAACATGAAAAAGGAGATGCAGCAACATACGGGTTTCTTCTAATCTTAATTGACTAGGATTAACAGTTTTCCTACCAAAGGTTGATGGTTGTCTCTGGGCACTCCAGCTTCCTCCATCAATAAAAACTGACCGCCACGAAAAGCGCAATAGTGCTGCAAGTGTGTTAAACACCAAATCAATCAATCATTCAATCTTCTAATTGACCTCAGTGGTTGTATGGTAGCATTCTCTATATTGATATAGGAGGTTGTAGATTTGAACCCATGCCTGATCAAACTTTTCAATGTAAGTTATGTAGAAATGTCTGCCTGTCCCTCTGGCAATGTATTTTTATGCCCCCGTCGTAGCGGAAGGGGCATTAAGTTTTACCCTTGTCCATCCGTACGTCCCAAAATTGGTTTCCGTTCTCTAACTTTAGTTTGCCTTAACCAAATGTTATGAAACTTATACACAATGCTTATTACCACAAAACACAGATCAAGTTTGAATTTAGGTGGCATGATGGCATCACTTTTACCGTTCTAGAGTAATGTCCTCTACAAATGGAAAAATTGCTGAATTTTTCGTTTCCATTCTCATACTTTAGTTTGCCTCAACCAAATGTTACAAAACTTATAATAAATACACAATGCTAATACCACAAAACACAGATCAAGTTCGAATTTTGGTGGCGTCACTTTTGCTGTTCTAGAGTTATGCCCCTCTACAAATAGAAAAATTGCTGAATTTTTCGTTTCCGTTTTCTTACTTAAGTTTGCCTCAACCAAATGTTATGAAATGTATACACAATGCTTATTACCACAAAACTCAGATCAAGTACAAATTTGGGTAGTGTTACTTTTACAGTTCTTGAGTTATATCCCTTTATAACATTATATGCAAGCGGGGGCATCATCTGTGTCCCATGGACACATTCCCATTTATTTAGATTAGGATAGTACCAGGCTGAATCAGACATGTTAAAGGGGAGGTAATTGAACTTGCATCCGGAATATAAATTGAAATGAGGATATCATTTTGAGAGATGGCACATGGTATCATTAATTTAATTTTTGAACACCATTTATATATTTCAAAATTTTTATGAGACAATTTTCGCCAAAAATTACAGGGTGGTCTTTTCTCTTTACATTATATATATTGTCGAATATAATTTTTTCCAAAAAAGTTCTCAAAAACTTGGGAATATGTCCCCAAACTTGACACAGTTTTTCTAGGGTGTTATGTTACTTATTGATTAAGACTTTTGCACAGAAAGCATGTTAACAATACGGACTCCACTGAACTCCTCATTAAATGGAAATATTAAATTATTGAAAAATTTTCTTTGAATTTAAAATTTTAAGTGGAAATATTTTGAGAAAAATTATAGTTAAGATAATGAGTTTTCTATGAATATTCATAAAAGGATAATAAAGAACTAAAAGTACAGTGTCACAATTCAGAATATTTACTTCACCTTGGCAATCATGTAGCATGATAGTAATTGCACTTGAGTCACTCATGTTTTATTTTGTGTAGGCAAAAATAAGTCTTGATATATGATGTATTAAAATGCATTAGTCAAAAATGTTCTACAATAATATATCAAGCTCCTCCTGTCAATATATATATGAGCAAGATTTTAGGATGATTTATATGAGAAATAGGATAAATATTTCATGGAAGTAGAATACATAAAAAGGTTCAGTGTGCTTTTGTCTTCAAACAGAAAGAAATCCCAAGAGTTGACTACAGTAATATAGTCACCTGGACTTCCACAGTGGTGCAGTTAAATCCATGCTAAAGAAAATCTGTTTGGTTGTAACAAATGTATAAATACCCAGCCACATTTTATATAAATGGTGGAATCTGGTGCCTTCTGTAAGGATAGTGCCACACTTTCTGCATGTTAGTAAAAAACAACCCTTGCATCAACTGAGGTGTCAGTACTTGACCCATTTCAAGGCAAAATTTCTGTCATTATCTAACATACCTTCTTTTTCCAGTGGCAGTCTTTTAATTTCCCACCCTTTATCTCAGTAAGCCCACGTTACAGACCCTATCTTTTGGATTTATTTCCTCTTGTCCTTAATATGCATGAAAAATTTGTCACTGGACATTAAGCAAACTGCAATCAATCGATCAAACAAAAAGGGTATAGTGCCAAAATTCAGGACACAGCATGTTGTCATGATAACAGTCCCTGAAGTGCAGGGAAAACTTCTTTATACTTGAAAAATAAAGTTATACATGTAGTACATTTGTAATAACTAAGTAAAATCTGGTATGCGAGGCATATGGCATTTTAAATTGTGCGAAAGATATCCTAATTGAAATTAAATGTAAAAATATAATGGGAAACACATTGTATACATGTTTACACATTTAATTTTAAAAAATACATATAATGCATGCATTTAAAATTTGTTTGTGATAAAACAGTGGGATAATAAGTATGCATGTATTTGATAAGTAATGCAATGTTATTTGAAATATTTTCCAGTGAGAGATGACATTCTTGCTACAATTCTTATATGACCTTGTCCTGATTAATAGATAATGCCAAAGTGATGTCAATATGTAGAAGTTCCAATTTATAGTTGGCCATTATGTATGGTATCCAGGTTATAAAAAAGAGACAAATACACCATCATATGCTAGATATATATTGGTCAATATTTGGGTCTTTATAGTATGAAACAAAAAAAAGATAATCTTATGTACTATTATTGATACATTAATCAAATGTAAATGTTAGAAATATTTATTTATTAATAATATATGATACAATGGGATTAATACATGTTTCAATTTATAATCAGGCCATGGTTATTTATAAGTATCAATATTCAAGGTAAAAAAAGAGACAGGACTTCTAAATGCCTAGTATTTAATAAGTTGAATGCACTAGATACACAAGTGGGTCAGGATATGGGCCTTTATGAAAGTACTATACAATTTTATGAAAAGATAAAGGTAAATTGATTATAATTATTAAAAGTTATGCACAGTTGATCAATATTTACTTCAATAGGGTTAATACCTCTGGTAAAGGTGATATTAAAATGATGTAGTGATCAGTTATCAAATGGAAATTAGTCCATTGGTGTTAGAATCTGGGACCTACATTGTAGCCTTTGGGACTGGGTCATTGTTAGGTGAAAGTTCAATGGTAAAATAATAAACATTTCGGAAAAAACCAAAGAATAATGATGGATAACCCTACTGATTGATGCAGTCCAGTAGTCAGCCAACTTTCATGCGATGTCATCTTTTTCAAACTGCAATCAACTTTTGAAAAGTGGTTAACAGTACTGATTTATAAATGTTTCGACCCATAAACTGGCTTTCAAGATAATGAGCTAATTTTTTGTCCCATTGCAACAGTGTTCTCCGTAATTTTTTTTTGATAACTGTTAATCTCTAATTTTTTTCCAAATTCCATTACTTTAGGTGACCAGTCAAGAAAGTCATTGTCCATAATGTTCTGTAGTCCTATAACATTTAACAGTGGTCTCGTTAGCCCAAAATAGAAGGGTGCCGCGCCCTGGGTGCCCTCAGCCGCGCCCTGGGTGCCTTCATCCGCGCCCTTCTTACCTGACCCCTTATTCCCAAAAACCCTTAATTGTGCCGTTTTGGTAAAATTGCCTTTGTTTCATCGATTTCTTATCACAAAGTTAAATTACATATATGACAACAGGTGATTGCCCCAAGGTTAATCATGTCATTACAATCAATTACAGTGGATAAGACTTCAAAGGTGTTAATAACTAGGTAATCTAATTAAGACAATGTACCTTTTTCTCATAAATTTGATGAATGTGTCAGCGAGTGTTTTTAGCTTGGGTCGGCATTTTCATTTTCGATCTCCAAGAAGAGTGTATAAATGAAGACTTTCATGACTTTAGAATAGAATTTAAGTCATCAAAATACAACTATGCCTTCACAGAAACGCCGTCCATCTCAACTTGTGAGCGACAAGCAAACAGTAACGTGTTAGAAATTAATTATGGAGTTACTTCCCCTGTTTTAGCTTATTACAAATTTGTGCTCCTAAAATATTATCTAGAATTAAAAATAGGAATAAATTACCAATTGAATACAAAATTATATAAGAATGTTACCTTAAGGATATTTACTGTCTTTGAACATACCAAAAAAAAATATATTGCAATTTATTTTTGATAATCATACTTTTAGCAATCCATGTTCTATACATTTTTAATTAAGAAATTTATATGTAGAATTTTTATGATGATGTTAAGCTGCAATCCTACATAAATGGGTAGAGTGAAGTTAAACTATCATGACATCAACTTGATGACGCTTTACTAAATAATTCCTGAACACAAACAATGAAAAAAAGTGGGAGAACAGTAAGGTAATTTGCCTCTGTTGGTTTATAGTGATGTGATGTATGAATGTGTATTGACATGTTTTATGAACATGTCGTATGAGGAATTACATTTTCTAATGCAAATTTTATAGAATAAATAATCAAAACAACAACTTATGCATCTTTAATAACAACATATACAGTAAAAAAAAGAATGTGAACTCGTGATACACACAGAAACGTAGACAAAAGAAATGAGCAGTGCCTTTTCCTTTCATAAAAAAGTGCCCTGCCCTCCACTGGCACCCTGCCCCTTTTGATTTCTAGCTGGAGCACTGCATTAGCTGTGGATTCATGATTCTTATGGTCTTTTCACTACTTTGGTGTTCTGTAAAAAAAGGTGGACCAATCTTAGATTTTGATGGCTAGACCTTTATCATGCTATACACAAATGAACTTTACTTATATATCATAATGTCATAACTAACATTTGTTCTGATGTCTTTTTCAGGTTAATGATATAAAGAATCAGGTATTAGGAGATTCTGGAAGATTACAAAAGAATGGCATCATGAAGAAAAAGCAGACAACTATAGTTGGATTGTTACAGAATGTAGGTTATCACATAAGAAACTTTTATATATGAATTAAAGAAAACGCGGGGATATACATCAATGAGACAGCAACCCAACAACATGAATATATATATAAAAAAAAAGACATTTATTGTGGATTTATTATTTTAGAAAAACCAAGAATTCAAATATACGCTAAAATACAATTTTTTTTCTCTATCTGTGAAAATTGTTATATACAAAAATAAATGTATCCACAGTATGTATGGATTCTTATTAGTTGAGTTTTTTAAAAATTGATTGACTTATGATTGTGTTTTGTCTCACCTGCGATGAAAGTCGCAGATGAAGAGATTTAGGTATTGCTTTTCTGGAGACGATGACATCGTAGTAGGCGTCAACAATTGTTAAGTTTTCTGCTTAAGGTCAAGGAACAGTAAATGGGCTTTGTCACAGATTTTGCTAAAATTTTGCATACTACTTGGCTTGTTGAAATATAACTGAAAATCGAAAAAATAATGCATTTATCTCTTTTATCATCTTAAATTTTACTGATTGAATTCTTTCAAAACAGGTGAACATTTTGTATAGAAAGCACATAAAATTGACAAAAACCTTCTAATATTTGTCTTAAAATCATCAAATCTCTAATTTCTAATACAAAGATCTTTCTTAAAAAAACTATGTTGTTGATACATAAATTTCCGTTTTAATGATATAATATTATAATACGGTTACTAACTTCGTTTTTTGTCTAATAATCAATCTGTTATCTAGTTGGTAGTGAAAAACGTCAAAAATTAACGTTTCAGTGCCTGCAACGCAATGATGTTATGATTATTTCGACGTTTTGTGGTATTTTTTCACATAGAACACCACTTTGAATGATGTATACCATAAAAACTAAAGTCGGTGACCCTATCATTATTTACCATATTAAAATTTATGTATCAACAACATACAGTTTTTCAAGAAAAATCTATGTATTAGAAATTGGAGATTTGATGATTTTAAGACAAATTAAACTTTCCATACAAATGTTCACCTGTTTTGAAAGAGTTCAATCAGTAATATTTCAGATGATAAAAGAGATAAATGCATTATTTTTTAGTTCAACAAGCCAAAATTGTATGCAAAGATTTACTAAATTTATGACATAGCCTTTTTACTGTAATTTGACCTTAAGTTAGTTACTTATGATAGATGAATGATATTTTCTGTAAAGTTGCATTACTATAAGTACATAGTGTATCAGTTTGACGACTATTTTGAGGCCCTGCCCCCTAGGTCATGGTCCAGTGACTTTGAATTAATTAGCAATTTTCAATGTTAAGTTTTCTGCTTAAGTTAGTTTGATAGGAACTTCTTGTGATAGATCAATGATTTTTTCTATATAGTTGCATTACTATCAGTACATATCAGTTTGGTGACTATTTTGAGGCCCTGACCCCTAGGTCATTGTCCAGTGACTTTGAATTAATTAGCAATTTTTAATGTTAAGTTTTCTGCTTAAGTCAGTTTGATACCAACAACTTGTGACAGATCAATGATATTTTCTATAAAGTTGCATAACTATCAGTAAATATCAGTTTGAAGACTATTTTGAATTATTTCCCCGGTAGGTCATGGTTCAGTGACTTTTAATTAATTACCAATTTTCAATGTTAAATTTTCTGCTTAAGTTAGTTTGGTATGAACTACTTACAATAGACAACAATATTTTCTATAAAGTTACATTACTGTCTGTACATCTCAGTTTGTTGACCATTTAGAGGGTCCAGTGACTTTGAATTAAATAGCAATGTTGCTGTCCATCAGATTGGTTTTTTTTCTGAATTTTATGCCGACAGGTGAGAGATATCTCTGTGTCAACAGATTATTTAAAACTATGAGTTAGATCATGAAATACTCAAAAAATTTCAATGTATACAATGTATATGCTGGGTTCCTTAAATACATGTATATTAGTAATGTTTCATGAGAGGATAAAGTGAAAATTCTGTAAGGTTTAATTCAAATTAAAACACGTTATTTATTTGATATGTGCACATCTTTTTCATTACTTATATGTTTGAATTTGATTTTACTGTTGATATTTATCAAAAAGTTTAATATAAGACACTGAAAAGAAAAGCATGAATACAAAATAGATAGCTATAGAGATGTACATTCCTTTATCAATACAGTATCTGTACGGGTACATTGTCAACATTAATGATATAGTATCATAGTTTATCAGATGACTGTTTATGATTTTGCTACGAAGCAGGCAAGACATATCTTAGTGCTAACAGTTTTTTTTTGACATTTTTTTAATGTGAAATATTTCAAAAAGCTGTATTCTTACTTTTGACCTCTTAGACTAGTATATTTAAGTTTTTGTCTTTTGTTGACTAAGTTGAAAAAGCGAGACTTAGGTGTGCTGTTTCTGGCGGCTTTGGCAAATGTCAACACTGTATTAGTTTGTGATTAGGTCAAGTTTATGGGGAACCACTAGTGGTAGGTCAATGACATTTGGTCAGCAGTTTTATAAATGTTGGCATTTCAAATTTCCATGGAGGTTATTTGGCCCTGCACCTTCAGTCATGATTCATTGACTTTGAATGATTTGCATAGTTAACATGTTTAAATATAACCATTTTATTTTCAACATTTGCATTATACCATCAAAATTACAAAATGCGAGACATACCTCTGTGTCAACAGTTTGTTATACCTAAATAAATCTTATTGGAACTACCAAGCTGCTTTCTATTATAACATTTGTTACATTAACAGAGAGAAATTGGAAGAAGAGGAAATCAGCAGTTTACTTGTAGTGATAGGAGAGCTATATCTTGTCAGTAAGTTACTTTTATCAAAGTAAAATTTGATAAAATACTGAACTGATAGCAGTTTATAAAATATTAAAAAAATCTGAATTAAAAATATTTAAAAAGACTTTTGATTAGACCATTTTTGTTGAGTACTTTGTAAAAGAGAGTAGAAAATAATACAAATATAAACTGTCACAAGTACATAATTTTTTTTATCTTCCCTTATATAAATACATCAGGACAATCAAAAATTGCATATACAAATTGCTGTGGTTAAGAATGGGCCAAAAGCTAATAATGTATCTGTGAAAATAAGTTAGTCTACAACCAGATATTCTGAAATACATAAAAGAATTAATAAACTCAATTTCATCCAGCAGTTTTTGAGGGTAAAATTTTATGGTCAACATATTTTAAGTCATTAATCTTTATTTGAACTCCAGAACAAAAATAGAATATATTTGACTTAATTTCTAAATATATTGATAAAAATGTTTATCTATCTGAACTTTGCCTGAAGTTTTTGAATTGTCTCCCTTCAAATGTTGTTAAGGAATAAAACATAAAAACAATGACATGAAAAATGATAGGGTAAATTAGATCAAATTAAGACCACTTTACAGTAGAAAGACTTTAACCATATATACATTGTACATATTTCTTGCAATTTGTAAGATGTATTCTTATTTCAGTAAAAGATATTTGAAAAACTGTAAGCTGCTCAAATAAGACAAAAAAGTAATTTAACTATTGAAGGTAACTTTACCTGAGCTTGGTAATTTTGATGTATAGCGGCTATCAATCTTTATGAATGAGACTGTTTGTCACACTGACTTAAATACATCATAACAGATTTTTTTCAAACTTTACCAAATTATTATGAATTGTGGTCCAACAGTCTGTAATCTATCAAATTATCAGGAATTGTGGTTCAAGTGTTTATACACTGTATAAATGTTAGCAATTTTCTCATTTCTTGAAGTCTTAAAAAACTGTAAATTCAGAAATTATTGCGAGGTTTTTATTAATGCGAAAAATGCAAGTGGATAAAGATCGCAATAATAAGAACTCGCATTCTGATATCTTATACTTATATCTGTATGCAGATTTTCCTGAAATCGCAATAATTAAACTCACATTTTAGTCCATTCTTCAAAAATCGCAATAAAAATTAACGCAATAGTTTCTGAATTTACTTAAATCTGTGAAGGATGAAAACTTAATTAAATGTTATATGTTCAACAAAGATTTCTTGGACCAATTTTCTTCAAATTTAAATTGATTTTTGTGTGACAACAAAAAGACATCATGGTTTGAGTATCAGTGTAGGGTCATTTTCAAAAAATGTTGAATTTTCAATACATCTATACTAATTTTTTTATTTTTAAATGAAAGTTTGTAGGATTTATGAGTTGGAACATCAATAATAAACACGATTCAGATCTATTTTGATAAGATTAAAATATATTTAAGTCCGATTTTTGCATAATTTGTGTGCGTACTGTGTCAGGGTAACACATTTCAAATGATTTTTTTCCTATTTTCTGATTGCCTTGATATCTGTAAAAGGAACTATTTTAGAATGTTAATGATAACTCTAACGAAAAATCACAGCTTCATTATTATTCTATGTAACATTTTTTCTGCAAACTAATTTCAATCAGCGTACATGATGCATGTCTATCCTGTTACCGGTTCTAGATCAACCGTTAAATTGTTTCTCCCTATAGCTATGAATATGGAACTATTCAGTGATGATTTCAAAACCACAAAGCATCCTGAAAATTTAACACATCACGTTTCTTGCATATCAGTGTAGGGAAAAGAAAGTTCAAGATATTTAGTGAAAAAAAATAGTGGGTACCCTTTCATAATGTCTATGCTGTTACCAACAAATTTACTAGTTACAACAATATTATACTTGTAAAAAGTGCAATTATGTGTTGGAAACCAAAATCACAGCAGAAAAACGGTATCACTGCATTAAAGGGAGTAGTTATTTCACAACAGCGTTCATAAATGAACAAATTTGTCTATCCTGTTATGTCTATCCTGTTACTATGGTTGATATGGTTATAGTAACAGGACAGACAATATTTGACTGAAACATCTTTAAAAAGTATATAATGACATATAGTTTTACACATAATGAAATGTTTGGTTGTTTGAACTCATTTAAAGGTTACAACGTCTTAATCTTCGTAGTTTAGCGTACACAATATGCAACACTGCTAATGCGAGGGAATTAGTTGATGTTGGGTTTATTACAAAGAATAAAATAGTGCTGAACATTATGAATTGCTCTCTTAGACATACAATACTGGTTGTTATTTGTATAACCTTTGAAAACCAATTTTTGGAGTTATTTTTCAGTACAACATGGAAAATTGACAAATAATCTATCATTACACAAAATTAAGATATATAGAAGTTTTTACTCTTGAAAACCATCTTATTGGCCATGAAAAACACGCTTAAAATTTTATCAAAACCGTTTCTAAATAACCCAAAATTTCTTTTGAAAATGGTAACAGGAGAGACAAAATATTGCACCACCTTTCAAAAAATGTTTCAATATATTCTTGTATGAAATTATCAAGATTGCATCTTTTTATATGTTGTTCCATAAGTATGGTTTGTTTTGATTTGCTTATGAAGAGTGTGGTTTAAATTAGTAACTTTTATTCAATTTTGCTATTTCAAAATTCGACATTTTTTAAAAATGACCCATACCATTGGACAATTTTCACTTTTCTCTCAATGCAGAAGCAGAACCTTGATTTTAATTTGGTTTATAGAAAATATCAATACAATGTATATTAATGAATATCCCATTGAACTTACTTCATGTGTGCTGTGGACAGGTATACTTTGCATTTATGTTGGGAGTTATATTTGATTACAACTATCCCCAAAACAACTCAATAATTAGTTGCAAGAAAATGTTTTGAAGTGTGTATACTGTAACTGAATCAAATAATAAACAAAGGTTGGGTTTTATGGCCATAGAATAGCAACTTCTTAAAATCAGATATGGGATGGGGTTAGTGTGAACAAAATTTAAAATATGTTTTTTTATTTCAGATATCTACCAAATTACAGAACAGTAATAGACAATTATTATCATAAAGCTTTCTGTGGTACATACTCTAAAGAGGGAAACATATTCCTTACAGCTGCTCAAGGTTTGTATTTACATTTTATAAATCATTATGTATTTGGACTTTATAAATATAATATGTTATAATTTTGAAAGAACATGTAAAATTGATTCAAATATCAAAATTTCAGTCAAAAGTAAATTCTAGGTAAAATCGTGTATATCTAGGGTTAACTTTTATTTATATGAATAATTAACTGTCATCCTTTTCATTGGACAAAACTCGAAATTGTGTACAGACTGTCGTACTCATCTGAAATCTTGTATTACAGATCCAAATTTACGGATTTACAATACAGAAAATGGTAAATTTGAAAAATTTAAAACCATCAGAGCAAGAGATGTAGGATGGAGTGTATTGGATACAGCATTTAGGTAGTATACTTCTTTGAAAATTATATTTATATTATATCCCCAGTTTAGAAGTGGGGCTATATTGCAATCACCTTATCATTCCAGCCATCTGTCCATTCATGCTGTCTGTTTGTCCATCAAAAATTTTCCATCACACCTTCAGAAACTTCTAAAACAGAATAACTTAATATTCAGTCAGCAGCTTTAGTGACGAGGTGTAATGTGTGACCATTTTTGGATAGCTCAGATACTTCTTCCTGTTTGCCAATACTTTGAATTTTCAATTATATTGAATGAACTTAGAAAATGTCGTCACACATTCTCTAATTCTGTTGAACAGAATGACTTAATATTTGGCGAGCAGCTGAACAGTGATGAGTCGTAAAATGTATTCCTTATCAGAACACACTATTATTTATTAATAATTATATGTAATATTAGTTGATTACATGAATACATATGATTAAAAAATATAGAAACTTATATACTTATGTTGTTTACAGTCATTTCAATGATTTGTTTGTTTTTCAGTCCTGATGGCCTGTACATGGCATATTCTAGTTGGTCAGACTGCAGTAAGTTTATTTTTAACATTTTATTTGGTCATGGTAGGGTCTTTGAACTTTGTATATACAGGATTACATTAAAATGTTTTCTTTCCTGAGTAATAGAATGTTAACCTGATTTATAGGTCATTGACTATTTGAAAGTTTAACAACAGCCAAAACAAATTGTTATGAAAGTTTAAAACTATTTATAAAACATTATTAACAGTAAAAGTAGAACAAATCATGCGATTTAAACAAAGTAAAAAAGTGCAAAAGCAGCACATTATGATCTTTTATTTATCCTTCAATTCAATGCTATAAATTCATATTTTTGGTAATAATTTTTTTTTGGCAAAAAATGTTTCAGTATATGAATCCCAAAAATAAGAACTCGCATCTTAAACCATGATAGCACTATGTGTAGATAGTATTTGAAATTTGAAATGACATAAAATAGTCTTGCATTTCTGTACCTGGTGCAACAATGGCAATAATAAATGGTTGCAATGATATTTGAATTTACAATAGGTTGAAAAAAGAAGATAACAAGGGTTGCAACCAAGAATCTATAGTTAGATTTCGCCAGAATGCACCATGGTCAAAAGAAAAAAGACACACAAAAACTCATAAATAAGGAAAAGAGAGGACAGGATTATGGAACATGTCGTGAAAATGCTGTTGATATAAATACTTGATATATTATAATGAATAGGCTAACAGTATAGAATAGAAAATAAAAAAATAATTTATTAGAAAATTTTCTTTTAACGTTATATGAGATTAAAGTTTTAAATATTCTACTAGCATACTGGTACTACACTCAAATTTATGTAAAATAATAAAGAAAAATGTATTTTCAGTTCATCTATGCAATATATATGGAGAAGAAGACACCCATAAATCCTTACATCTGTTCCCAGGGGATCATAGCTTCAGTATTTTCTCTCTGGCCTTTTCCTCAGACAACAGAGAAATTCTTGGTGGGTAAGTATAGCTACGTAGCTTGAATATAATGTGACACAGCCACATAAATATAATGTGACACAGCCACATAAATATAATATGACACAGCCAAATAAATATAATGTGACACAGCCACGTAAATATAATGTGACACAGCCAAATAAATATAATGTGACACAGCCACATAAATATAATGTGACACAGCCAAAGCCACATAACTATAATGTGACACAGCCACATAGATATAATGTGACACAGCCAATTAAATATAATGTGACACAGCCAAATAAATATAATGTGACACAACCAAATAAATATAATGACATATTCAGCATGTAGATTACAGTTAAAAATATGTTGAGAAACTATTATCGTTTAATTTTGATAGCAAACAATGAACTTAGGATTCAACTTTAGATTATATTAAAAAAGATAATTCTGAAACAATAGTCTATTCATTAGCCAACAATAATAGGAATTCATGCTATTTAGGTTGTGGCCAGTGTTAGGAAACCCATGCCATTTTTGCTGCAGACAACATTAGAAATCCACATCATTTTGTCAGTAAACGGGGCAATCATACCACATCTTCTTATATCTATTAGGATTTTCTAAAGACAGTATTGTGAATGCTTTCTTAATCAAGCATCTTTAAATTGATTTTGTCTTGATTATCAAATTGTTGGTTTATTCAGGATAGGTTTTGGACATTTTAATATATGCAGTGTATGCCGGGCCTGCAAAAGGATTGTTTGATTGTTGGTGTGTAATAGCACACTTCATATATATATATATCATGGTTACAAGTTCTTATTGATGGAGGAGGTCAGAGTGCTGGAGAGAACTGCAGCCCTTTGGCAGGAAACCGGCTAGAGGAATTCGTTTTGGTCATATTAATGTGTTTTATGTATTTCTTTTGTAGAGCCAATGATGGTTGTTTGTATATATATGATAGACATGAAGACAAAAGAACTTTGAAGGTCTGTTTATAGGTTACAATACACAGTAAATTTTGAATACATTAAAAGGACAGGAAGAATATGTCTAATACATTTTTTTTAAAAGGGGTAGGAAGTACCAAGTGGGCAATCAAAAAAAGATAAACAGTCAACACCATGGGCATAAAAAATGGAAACGACAAAACAACGCACAAAACGCTACCTAGAAAACCTTAGGTTGAGCAACACGAACCTAAACAAAAACCTGGGGCTGAACTCAGATCCTCAGAAAAGGATCATTAAATCCTGCTCCACTAGAGAAACCAATCATATTACTCATATTGCAAACCTCACTTTACATTATTTTTAGTCAGTTAAGCTGCCATATGCTAGCACCCTAGATTTGTGTTCCTCCCGACGAATGCTGAAAAAAGGTGCCATTGTTATTATCTAGCAGGCTAATATGTTATTTATAACTAATTGGACACTTTTTTCATACTTTTAATTCTGGAATACAAAAAATATGACCAGAATAACCTTAAATGATCGTTGAACGACATAAAATATTGAAGTTGCACATAGGAAATAGTGCTCAATAGAAATTCCTACATAGTTTATTATCCCCTGTGCTTTTGGTTAAGATGTCAAAGAACAATTGTATGAAATATTTCATCACCGAAAATCTCTAATTACAAGTTGTTTACATTTCCCAAATGGCAAAATGCACATTTAAATTCCTTTCTTTTATTATTTTATTCCGTTTATCACTGACCTTGCTAAGTAAAGTTGTCGTTATTGTATGAATGAAATAGAACCGGAAATCGACGTGGATTAGTAGATATATTTTAAGGAATGCGGGACAACTCGTCCCAGAGACAAGTCGGACCGAGTCCACTTCCGCTGCTTTAAAGATGAACTTGTCCGCAGCGGTTCTCCAAAACCGCTTGTCTGATTTACTTAGGGTTTCATAAAATGTTAGACTAACATGTCTAGGGGAGCCATCAATTTTTCGTTGGTGCATTGTGGTCTATTTAGGGGTAGTTTGAGGAGCCTAAAGAAGGGAGGAGTTTACTATAGAACCCTATGGGATTTTATTATTTTTCATTTCCAAAGACTATAACTTGAAAACAGTAAGTGATAGACACACATGGTCTTTAGTAATGATAACAGGACAATAAAACAAATCAAATAAAATATAGGGTGAGTCCTTGGAGGTCACTCATCCCCCCTTCAATTTGAGAATGAGCTTTTATCTTGTAAACGCTCGCGATCCCCACCCCTTAACCATATATATACTTGTAGGGGACAATAAAACAAATCAAATGAAAATAATTTGGGGAAGTCCCCAGCGTCACCCCCATCCCTTCTGTTTGAGAACTTGTAAACGGTCAAGATCCCCACCCCTAAATCATATATATTCATGTATGGGACAATATAACAAATCAAATGAAATATAGGGGAGTCTGTGGGGGTCACCCCTACCCCCTTCTGTTCAAGAACTTGTAAACAGTTGAGATCCCCACCCTTACACCATATATATTCTTGTATGGGACAATAAAACAAATCAAATGAAATATAGGGGAAGTCCACGGGGGTCACCCCACCCCTCTTCTTCTTGAAAACTTGCAAACGGTCAAGATCCCCACCCCCAAACCATATATTAAATTCTTGATGGGACATTGGAACAGATCAAATGAAATAAAGGGCGAGTCCCCTGGGGATCAACCCCCCTACCAAATATATTCCTGTTCGTTATTTCAAGAAGATTTGAATGACATACAGGGTCAATCTTCTAGGTGTCACATCTGCATTTCACTTTACTAGACCAAACCAATTTGTCAGGCGACCATTGGAATGACGAATTATGGGAGCTTTGTTTGGGAGACTTCCTAACAGCATCCTGTTACAATTATTTCTTGTTTATTATAAAATTTAATTGATGCAAAAAATAGTCTAGGTTGAATTTTCTTCAATTATTTTTTGAGTTATTTCTGGGCCTATAAAAATTTTCATTTATGGCTCATTTTAAAGGCAACATATTTAAAATAAATAAGAAATAACTTTTGAAAATGGTAGGATTGGATAGCTGAAACATTAAGGTACAAACATTTTTTGATACTTGAAATAGCTGAGATAAATAATATAACCAATTCTTCCACAATATTCATCTTAACTTCTGCCACGTTTGCCTTGGGTTTTTTTTAATTAACTGGTTATAGCGCCCTTGGTGCTTTGATTAAATTTTCTTGTATCTTTTATTAGGATTAAAGAAAATTTTTAAAAAAAGTCTAAAAATGCAGCATCTAAAATTAATTTTGATGTGCTGTTGAAAGGTTGTAAGGACTTAGTAAAAATTTCTACATGTTTTGTTTTTTAGATTGATGCTCATGAAGATGATGTCAATGCGGTAACTTTTGCAGATGACAGTTCACATATTCTGTTTAGTGGTGGTGATGATGGTTTGTGTAAGGTGAGACAAATTTGTTCTTTAAAATAGAGATATTTAATTATGATGATCCCATATACTTGGTGATATCTTTCTTATATATTTTACCTGTGAAAGTGCTATTTTTGCTCAGATCAGGCAATTTGAGACATTCTCAAAACAATTTCAAAAAAATTTTGCCAAATGTATTCAGTTTTAATTGCACTTGTCCAGAAGAAAGCAAAAAAGTATGTATGAATAAAAGGAGATGGGGAAAAAGTTAATGAGAGAACAACCCAATGTCACAAAACTCAAAACATTTTTCTATCAAATTATAGTTGTTTAAGTGATGCTTCTGTGCTTTAATGCTTTAATTATCTTCACTTATGTTTTCTATATGGAGAAATTGGTCTTCTGATGCTTTAGTATTTTGTTAAATTACCATCACTATATTCCCCATTTAACTGTCACCACTTGTTGCCATGATAGTGCCTTCATTTTGTCTATTCCATTTCATATTATTTTTTATTTTTTTTGCAAACAAACAGTTTGTTGTGGGGTGGTAATTGACTTCATTGTATCAATTTTATTGCTTCTCATGGATCAGTATTACAATAACTGTTTGTTTATTACAGGTATGGGACAGAAGAACCTTAAGGGATGACAACCCTCTTCCTGTTGGTACATTAGCAGGACATTGTGATGGAATTACATATATAGATCCAAAGGTTAGTCTTAAAATATAGGTAAAATATTTTGAAAGTGTCAGAAATCAGAGAGGGGGAGATGAGGCAGAGAGAGAAGAGACAAAAACAGAAAAAGGATCTGTTGGAAAATTTCTTTAAAGCAGTTTTTATAATACAGGATAATAAATTAGAGACATGAAAAAGGAGAATTATGGAGGGAAAGAATGGCAAAGTTCACTTAACCTATTTTGGTTTCAAAGCTTACATTATATAACTCTTGGTAATCAGAATAGAATTGCCTCTTGCTAGAAAATTGGTTACGCCATGTTTTATACTGTAATAATGAAAGTCTAATGATATTACTAATTTATTATACTTTTCTTACAGGGAGATGCTCGATACTTGCTATCAAACTCAAAAGACCAAACAATGAAATTGTGGGATATAAGAATGTTCTCCTCACAGTGTGCTATTTCAGTAAGAAAAAAACTAATTATTTATTGAGTGGAAGTTTTTATTAGGTTAAAATGATAGTAGTTAACTGTTTTATAAACCAATAAACTGGTTTCCATCCTACCCAATACTGTGAATAAATGTGTGGATTTACTATCATGATTGATCTACAGGGAAAACTGTTAAATTGACTTATGTGATTTTACAAAATTTTTGCATACAAATAGTGATATCAGACTTTACAATGCTAAATCTTGATTGAAGTGGCAGAAGAACCTTTTTCAGGACATTTGGATTTGGCCTTTATTTTTGTGTGAATTCATGATTTACACTTATGAGACTCAGGAATTAATTATCAATTTTTTCGGAATCTGGGAAAGAATGCTTTATATTTTCTGGAATTTGGGATGCAGCATTTATTTATCTGGGGATTTGGGATGACAACCCCTCCTACCCCCTCTTACTTATGCCATATTTTTCTTGTTTGTAATTTTTGCATCACAAATTTCAATTTAGAGTATGCATGATTTTTACAGAATACGAAAAAAGCAGTTTCTAAACAACGATGGGATTACAGATGGCAACAGGTCCCAAGAAAAGGTAAACATTCCAGATCAAAGAATCTACATTAAATCACCTATTCTCAAAATCTGTCCCACAAGTTCGCTCTGAAATAAAATGTTATTTCCACTGAAATTTTCATCTTATTGATATAAAATCATAGGTGGTAATTCATTGCTGTATAAATATTTCAAATGTGTCTTCCATATCTTAAATCTTAAGATTTAAATGCATGCTACTTAAAGGACATTAATCTTACTTTTACATTTGCTGCTTTTTTTCACACAAGATTCAATTATCTATACTTTAAAAAGAAATTGGGTGACCTATGAATTTTCTATCAATAATGGGAAATTTTAGTGACATACAAATCATTACAAAAAAAAAGAAATCATTTAACAAGTTTTGAGAATTTGCAATTCAAGTAAGTTATTGAACTTTTTAGGGGGATATTTACATGCATTCTATATATTTGGGCTAATGTTTGCTGGATATTTAGTTTATTTTATCTTGGAAAGTATAACAGTTTCCTATGTCATTATTTTGATATTCATATTCATAAAAATCTTTTAGTTTGCCCATTTACATATCTAGATATTAAGTAAAAGAAAGATGAAGTTACTTTCAGGTTGCACATGGATGTAAGAGGTCATAATATTTTTTTTTTAATCCTGTAACTTGTTATGCATTTAGGAGAATTCTCCCATCTAACAAATTCAGGCCTGGTGACCCATAATAATAATTTACTGGCTCTGTTTAAGTTGTACATCAATGGTAACTTAGGTAAAATTTATGACAATGTGAATGAAAAGGAGATGTGAGGTATACATCAAGGAGACAGTAACCCAACAAATAGAGAAAAAAAATGTCTATAGGTCAACATATAATCCAAAAAAATACAAGTATCTAACATATGTCAAGCTTTTAATTGATCAGAATTTAGACAAATTGTAAAATCTATGTACAGACTTCCAAAAATCTGCCAGATTCTTTCAAGAAGTAAGAAATATGTAAAACAATAGCTGAACAGATTAACTTTTGCAACCACTAACGAAAATCCTAGAATCTGGAAGAATCTGATAGCAGCTTTCCACAAATAAGTCACCAAAACCTACATTTGATATTCAAATTTTTCTTGAATAAAATGTTCACTGTGTTTTTTTCAGTACAAGCAAAGAAGACATTAGAAGGAGATACTTCAGTGATGACTTACAGAGGACATTCCATTCTGCATACACTAATTAGATGTCATTTCTCACCACAATATACAACAGGACAGAGATATGCATATACAGGGTGTGCTACTGGAGCAGTTGTCAGTATGTAATATTTACTACATCCCTCCCAAAACATAATCTGGATACCCAACATGACAGAGATATGCTTATATTCTGTGTGCTTAAGCAGCAATTGCAAACATGTATTGGTTTACACCCCCACCCCCCACCCCCCACCTCCCCTTTCTCCATCATTGTCTAATTACATAACAGGACGGAGAAACCTTATTTTTTATAGTAACAAAAGGAAAGTAACTCTTGCTCAAATTTTGTTAATGGAAACCTATCTATAGATACAATATCACTGTGTAACATTCCTCATAGAAAGGATAGATGTAGGATGACCGTGACATTATCTGTTCTTTCTCCTACTGTATGATAGACAGATATTCTTACTAGAGAGATACTTATTGCATAGTCAGTGGAATTGTTCTTATGAATGCTGTCTTTAGTCTTAATAATTTAATAATCTCTGTAAAATCATATTACAGGACAAAATTAAACATGTATAAAATCATATTACAAAATTAAAAATTTGGTATATTAAACCGAAGTCAGATTATAAGAGATTTAAGACAATTAAAGGAATGCTATATTTCTATGTTACATTGTATCTATATCAAAAATCATATTTAACTGCCAAAAATTACAAAATCTTACGATGCAGCAGAATAACAATTCATAGGAATGATGAAATATGTTCATATGAAAAGAATCTGAGGTAATTTCTTTATGCAAAATGACTTCATAACAACCATGTTATTTCTGTTATTGCAGTTTATGATTTGCTGACTGGAGAGATTGTTACAAAGTTGACTGGACACAAACAGTGTGTAAGAGATGTGTCATGGCATCCTTACGAGAACACACTAGTTTCCACTTCGGTAAGATTATCAAAATAATTTGGTGTTCAATACTTTAAAAATTAACAAAAAAATATGTTTTATGATTCAAAAACAAAGAAAATAAATTATACAACACCACTCACTTCTGTAATGTTAATTTAAGCAAGACATCATGTTTTTGCATTTAAGGGAAATAACTATGATATTAAAGATACTGTTTTGGACAAGGAGTCTGGTCATATCTTCAAGTGAAGTTACTAAATTTAGACATAAAATTACCAAAATGAACATTGACAATTGAGACCATTTATCCTTTTGTTATGCAGTTATCATTAATCACTTAATAATGAATAGATTCAGTCGGTTATTTTAATGCCTGTCAGTTGATCAAACTGACATTTATAATATTTATGGATTAACAATGGCTCTTCTAATAAGAGTGAGTTTCTCTGCAACAATCTCATAGAAGGGTGACCGCCCTGAGATGAGATGTAGCGGTGAAACATCCATAAAATTGAGAATGGAAATGGGCATGTGTCAAAGAGGCAACAACCTGACCAAAGAGCAGAAAACGGCCCAAGGCCACCAATGGGTCTTCAACACATACACATCATACATTTTCTTTCTACTCGACTCAGAAAAACCAACATCACTCGAGTATCCTGAGATGGAAAATTATCAAACATGATATTAAAGGAAATTTGAAAGAATAGCGATAACATGCTATACATGAGTCACTGCTATTGCACAAATGGTCTTATCCCAGCTGATTACCTGTGTTTTAAACACCATGGTCAAGTCCGTATCTCAGATACTATAAACCTTAGGTCAACTATATTTGGTGTATGGAATGATTGTAAGGTGTACATGTCCATCTGGCAGGTTTCAACTGACCTTGACCTCATGTTCATGGTTCATTGGACAATGTTTAGTTTTTGTTGTTTGGTCTATTTCTCAGATATTATAAGCTATAGGTCAATTATATTTGGTGTATGGAACGATTGTAAGGTGTACATATCTGTCTTGCAAGGTTCATATGACCTTAAACTCATTTTCATGTTTCATTGGTCAATGTTAAGATTTTGTGGTCTGATCTATTTCTCAGGTTCTATTAGCGATAGGACCACTATATTTGGTGTACGAAATGATTGTAGGGTGTACATGTCTGTCTGGCATGGTTTATCTGACTGTTGATAATGTTAAGCTTATGTGATACTTGTAGTAAAACCTTCGTATTACAGACTTTTAACATTAATTCAATGATAAGTAAAACAGGTGAAACATTTCAGCATGTGCACACTTGATTTGTGATTTGAATTCTTATATTTTATTTTAGAACTAAGATATTACATATTATTGGAAAAGAACTTGTCAGGAAACAAAACTTTTGAAAGTCAGAAATTGCACTTATTTCATAAACCAATGTATGCTTCTGGTTTAAAAAAGTTCTCACTAAGAAGGTACATTTTTAAAATAGCAATATTTTCTGCCATTAAAAAGACTGGAGTCAATTTTTTCTATCAAAAAAGAATTTAATATACTGGAGAATTTACAGATTTGACTTAGACTTCAATGCAGAATCATCAAACCATGTTCTCCAACCTTTTGTTGTCATGACAGAGTATGACAACATTTCTGATCCTTCCTAATGCCAGAATATCACTGTAATTATTAAAATGATCAAAACAGATACCAAATCTTATTTTTTTCTGTACAAATATTAATAGCTTAGTATATATTTGATACCCATTAGGGGTATAGTATTCCCTCTGACAAAATGTCTTCTTTGCATGACGTAACATGTGGTTTCGATAACTTTTAATTTTTTATTTTTCACAGCAAAGTCATTGTCAATAACTTGATATGGTTAATTTTAGGCATATAATTAAAACAAAAAATAAACATGTATAACAAATAATTAATTATTTACATACTATTTATGACATTTAATTATAAAATCATGGGAATATGTATGAAAATAATGTCCAAGTCAATGGCATTATTGTTTTTTCATCAATTTATTTTTCTATTCATAGTGGGATGGGATGATTGGTAAATGGGAATACCAGCAAGAAGAAGATTCAGAAGATGATTATAGTGAAACGTCAGATTCCGATGAAAGTCCGTCAGAAGATTACAATTGTCCTCCTAGACGAAGTAGACGGTTAGCAGATAAAGACAGACGTCAAGTTGAACACTTCCAGAGACAAGCTCTATTTGATTGAATAATTGTGTATCCGTTTAAAGCTTATGTCTAATTAACACGAAGCATCAGCTAGTAAAACAGATTCATCTGACCTAAAACTGCTGACTTAACAATTTCTTTGATTTATGGTGTGGTGCTTATACACCATTCTTGTATTAGATATTATGATCTACATGAATCATATCACTTGGATTCCTTCATTGTAAGATATATATTTATATAGAAAAAATACAACATGACCTTCACCATGAAATAACTAGGAGAAAAGTTAAACCGTTGAGTGTTGATTAAAGTGATAGTCAAGTATTACTACTCATTGTGTTCCTTTTGAAATGTATAGTGTATAGGGATATAATGTTATGTTGTGGTTAAAATCTATTATACTTTTAATAAGTTTCTGTTTTTGTACTAAAATTAGTTTGATATACATACAAAAAGTGTGATGATACCCCTGCTAACTAGCAGGAGGTATTTTATGTTGATGGTTTTGTTCTGATCTTTTATTTTAATTCTGTATATAAGATGAGTAATTTGAGATTTAAGTAGAATAAAGTAGGATTGAAAATTGGTTGATTCCCCTGTACAGAAAATTCCCTCCATCCCCTTCTATTATTTATACTACGAAATGCATCCTGTATTTAGTGTCTGCATTTGGCATTTGGTTCCTAAGCTGTGTTTTAAAAAGAAGTCAAATTTTGGGATTCCCCTGTCTCTGTTAAACAGGGGGTATTAGCTATAGTCAGCTCAGGCTCGACCCATTTATATATCTAGATAGTTTTACTTTAAGTTTTGTTGTTTTTTTTTATCTTCTTCAAAATTTATTTAACCTATATTCACCAGACAATATTAAAAATCTTATTTATGAAATCTATTGAAAGGTCTTGCCAGTGTTTTTCATTTCTTATTGATTTACCTACTCAGGGTTTCGTAAAAGTTATATGACAGAAAGCCAGAAGAAGATCATTAGAACAAACAATCTCTATCATTTGGTCGATAGATTATTTAAAGAATCAATTTGAAGCTGCAAGTGGATGGTTAAACAAGGCAATCTAGCTGACAATCTAAACTGATAACAATAAATTATTTCTAATAATTGGCTACATGGTAATTATAGGTTGGAAAACAATACAGTTGTACAGGAGTAATTTTGGAAAACAGAGTCTATGATATTTTGCAATAGCACTTATGTATGGTATAATTAATTTGATACCAGTTAAAGGCTAAATGACAGCAGTTTTTAATGGTACTGCTTGAAATAAATCATGCCTGTATAATTTATTTGATACCAATGCAAGGTTAAATGACAGCAGTTTTTTTAACTGCTTGAAGTATAATATGTCAGTTGGATATTGTGAATTTGGAAATATTTTAGTGTTTAACTATTTTTTAGTTTATTTTAAATTCCTGCTTTGGTTGTAGTGTTGGGTTCAGGGGTAGAGGCATAACCCCCCTTTTGATTGAAACATTTTTCTTAACAATCTTTTTGATTTACAGATCTTGTGTCCACACATTTCATTAAAGGATCTGCCAACGTTACGTTCTCCTTTCTGTTTTAATGACCTTTCGGGATCCTCAGTTTGTGGTGTAATAATACATACCTTCAAAAAATTGAAGGCTGAAAATTGATTGGCTGATGTAATATTTACCAGAAGAAAGTGAAACAGAGTGTTGTCAAATACTTGTAAGTAAAGATTGGACACAGGATCTATATTTTAATAACATTGTTGTCTTTATTGCACAAGATCATTTAAAAATAATCACCTTGTTACTCAAAAGTATAATTTTAGTAATATTTACTCTGAGCATGACTTAAAAGTGCACATATTAAAATCAGTGGTATTCGTTTCATTTTCAATAAGTTGTATTAAAAGTTTATCCACATATCTGACATAAAGATCACTTTAAGTTGAAATTCATTCTGATAAATGTATTCATCCTGCAATTAGCTATTTGCAATACAAATGAAGTTGTACAGATAAACTTTGTCAATATCCTGCTGCATTTATGTAAATGTTGCTGCATATATGGCAGTCAGGTATACGGTCATACAAGAGAAACATGAATATTTTTATTATAGAGATTGAGCAGTGATAGTAAATGTCATGTACTGTTAGAAGTGGAATAGAATTCTTGTAGTTTTCATTGTCATGACATTTAATACATGTATGAGAGTGTTCCAGCTCGTTAACAGGGAGTTCGTAGGGTTAAATATATTTCAATTGTTAATCCCCACAAAACTTGTAAATGTATGGTGAAAATAAATTGCAAATACAACTAAACAATAGAATTTGGGTGGAACAATAGGAATACTAGTATTGAAAATAGAGATTTAAGAATATGATTGAAAGCAGATATTGAGTAAAGGAGGCTTGGAGGAAATTGATTTATGTATTAGAAATTGAAAAAGTTTTGGGGACCATGTTGGTTAATTTGTTGTTCAGTTCAAATTTCATGTATAGACAGTAATTTTAGTTTTAGAAACAATGCCAAATGATAGAAGTAATGTATGGATTTAGATTGGGCCCACAGCCAGTCACATTGTGTCAGTTTTATGGGACTTGGACCTCACTATCCACCAAAAATCCTTGAAAGAAAGTTGTTTCTTAATGGTCTTTGTTAATTTCAATATGGTGCAGTGCTTTTGAAATGGACTGCATCCCTTTTACACACACATATTTCTGTTGATTTTATACATGCAAAATGGGATCTAAAAATAACACATTTTGTTCCAGGCAGAAATGATTATTGTTTTTTGTATTGAGTTTGTTTACATCATGTAAAGATTACAATGTGTCTGGCCCATGTCAGGAGCCTGTAATTCAGTGGTTGTCATTTGTTGCTGTCTATAATAATTATTTTTCGTTTATAGCTTTGTCATAAATCAGGTCGTTGGTTTTTTTTTGAATTGTTGCACATATTGTCTTGTCTGGCCCTTTTATAGCTGACCATATGGTACGGTAGAAGGCCAAACAGGGACCTATAATTGCTTAAATCTGCTTCATTTGAACTGTTAGATAGTTGTCTCATTGGCAATCATACCACAACTCCTTATTGTACAATGAGTTATTAGATATAAGAAGATGTGGTATGAGTGCCAATGAGACAACCCTCCATCCAAGTCAAAATTAAATAAAAGTAAACCATTATAGGTCAAAGTACGGTCTTCAACACGGAGCCTTGGCTCACACCGAACATGCCTTGTTTTTATGCCTTGTTATGCTATCTTGACCACATGTTTCATATTTATTTAATGTTTTTCTTGCTGTTTTACATTTACATCATGATATTGTTCAGTTGATTTTGTTTATTGTTTGATTATTTTTGTTTTTGTTGTTTAGTTTCAATATTGTAAATATATATGTAATACATATTTAATATTACATTATTGTAAATATATATGTAATACATATTTAATATTACATTATTGTAAATATATATGTAATACATATTTAATATTACATTATATTAAATCATTTTATTAATAAAATTTGTGGGTATGCAAAACTGCATAAAATATTACTTGTATATACTTAAAAGGAAGCTTCCTTATACAATATGTAAAGCTACCAGGCTTAATTTCTTTTACAATGTAATTGGTAAAGAAGACCAAACACTTCGTGTTGATACAAAAAAACAAACATTGAGAACAATTTATGCCACACAACTTGCATGTGTAATTTTTTTTTTCTCTACCAGATTTCATCACTTTTAATGAGTATAATGTTAATATGAATTATGGAAATCTTTGCCCTATCAACTTTAAAAAAAAAAAATGACCATAAGAATCTTATTTGGTTGGACTGTTGTGCATACAATAATTTAATTTGAAACTGTAAATATGATACCATTTAAAAAAATCCATTTTACCCTCAATAAGATCAAAAATAATAGTTGAGAATTTTAAATACAATATAGTATTGTTGATATTAAACAGATTATTAGCATGTGATCATCGAAAGGTTTTTAATTGATAAAGTTATTACACACTTTGTTATTACCATACGAGTAGGTATTTTTAAGTTATATGTACCTCTTCACACTGCATGTGCACAGTATAAAGACAGGTGTGCTAGAATCATATGTAATATCACTTCTTAGTCTCTCACTGTTAAAAGAAATGAGCTTTCTAGGTGCTAGACTATGTACAACAGAAGTCAGGAATATTTATTTAGCTTTTAATGCACATGTTATACTTGTACTTGGTAATGGGTATACTAAAACAGTTTGTTTTGTCATAGAAAACAAGAAATATGTAAGTGATTTCTCATACTTCAATTTACATGTTTTTGATTGTTTTTTTTATCTATATTTTAATTCATGTCTGAATTAGAAAATTGTTGGCAAAACATTGTAGAAGAATTGAATAATTATAAACAAGTAAGGTCATTCATTTCCCTAGCATTTAATGTAAACAAGACTTCATCTATGATTAAGGATGTACTCAGATGTTTGGATTCCTCGTTTTTTTTTCCTACGATATATGTTAAAATATTTTGCCCCATAACACCCATTTTTCTTTTCATATAAGACTTCAATAGCTCATAAAAGGTCATTTACCAAAATTTAAGCAGATTTTAGATTTCTTTTCTTTCAATTTGAGACCCAAATAATACCAATGCAAATACAAGGTAAAAGTCTAAGAAATTAGATATCTCGAAAAGGAGCTCCATAACCTATCAATATTTTTAGCTTATTTTGTTCCTTAACTAATGCTCTTCTGGCTTATAGTAACAATTTTAAATTCTAGATTTTTTAAATTTCACCTAAGTACATCCTTAAAGCCACATAACAAGAACAATATTTGTATTCCTGTTCTTCATGTTTTCCAAATAAAGGTCAAATTGAAGGGAACTTTATTTCTAGGTTTCTGAAGGTTACACAGTGAATACTAACCCATTCTGGGTAAATAGACTTGTGGACAAAATCGTAAGGATTTCAAAACCATTGGTACTCCAGCACAAAATACTTCTTTTATGATACAAAAAAATACACATTCAATAGTTATAAAGACTAAATGTATAAAGTTTTTGGTATATGGTCATTTAAATAAAGTATAAATAAAAATTTCACATAAATTCATTTATATTTATTTTTCCAATAAGTGTAAAAGAATTGCCTGTGAATAGTAGATATAATTTCCATATTGGGCTATAATCCCCATTCATTTACAATAACTACAAAGAATATCTACTGTGTACTAACCATTTTGTACATACTGTTGTCACACAAACAAAGTTTATATACAGGTAGTTGGCCAGTATGTTAATATGTTTTATCTTTGTACTTATATATATATTTTTAATAACTGTACATGTGTGCTTCAAGTGAAAAATAAATACAGAAATAATATTATTGTGGTTACATCAATGGTTTTACAGTATGGGAATAACTTTCATCCCTGAAAATAGTAGCAGGATGTCTTCTTTTTGCATACAAGGATTTCATAAAATGTTCAATTTGTAGTGATTTTCCACTCCTTGTTGAAAAATTAGATCTGGGAGCTCATTCACAAAACATCCATTAACTGAAAGATTCAATTTTAATTCCAGTTATTTTAATTTGCATTTCAGCAACCTGTTAATGTCTCCACTATAAATACAGTTAGAATCCCTGCTGTCAAATCATTAGGATATTGTTCATGCTATCTTTGGTGCAACCTTTCAGTCACATGCATTAAACAGAATTTTTATCGTTTTGTTTCCTTTTTTTTTTGCCATGTCTTTTCGTCATTTCATCTACTTGTAGATTCCTAAAACAGTTTGAATATAATAGACATATTTTGATTTAATTAAAGCTATTGGTATACCTATTAATTATAGGGTTTATGTGCTATGCTAAGTCATTGCTGTGTTTTTAATAAAATATGATTGTATTTTTTGTTTGTTTTGTTGGAATGAAAACATATAAAGGATTGTACATATAATTGATAATAAAGATCATAATAAATACTTGTTGCTTATAGTTTATCTAAACATTGCAATAGACAACATCAAATAAAGGTTCAAGTCTCCCTCCAAATGCAATAGACAAAAATTTTATCGTTACAACTCACCACTACAGTTAGTGTTCAAGTCTTACTCAATATGCAATCCTCAACAACTCACCTCTCAAGTCAGGGTTCAGGTTTTACTCCAAATTCAATCCTCTACAACCCACCACTTCTGTAAGGGTTCAATTCTTACTCCAAATACAATGCTCTACAACTCACCACTACTATTAGGGTTCAATTATTACTGTACTCCAAATTAAATCCTCTACAACTCACCACTACTGTCAGGGTTCAATTCTTACTACAAATACAATCCTTTTCAACTCACCACTACTGTTAGGGTTCACCAAATTCAATCCTTTACAACTCACTACTACAGTCTGTGTTCAGGTTTTACTCCAAATGCAATCCTCTACAACTCACCACTACTGTCGGTTCAATTCTTACCCCAAATGCAATCCTCTACAACTCACCACTACAACAAAGGTTAAAGTCTTAACTTCAAGTGCAATAGGCAACATCAACCTCTACAACCCAACACTACAATAAAGGTTAAAGTTGTGACTTCAAATGCAATAGACAACATCAACATCTTCAAATTAGCATAACAGTAAGGGTTCAAGTGTTAACTCCAAATGCATTAGATAAATATCTACTTCAAAAAATTGACCTCTATAAGTTTGTGTTACAGTATTGGTTTCAAAATGGTTTGCAACAAAATGGTAAGGTGCACTTGATTGACTTGTAAAGTGATAGAGGTGCATTTGATTTACCAGTAAAGGCTACTTGCTGAAAGACCATGGATTTGCATACAGGTATTCCAATTTTCTCCTCAAGTATATTGTTCAGACCTAAACAAGCAAAACAAAATATCTATGCAACCAAGGAATAAACAAGTATGAACAAAAAGAAATATGAGACCACAATTCAATATACAAAAAGGGCATTTAGAGTTCTGTGTCAAACTTATCTCTTTGTGAATAAAATTCAATAGAAGTCTTGTAATTATCTAACAAATAAAAAAAATAATATTGGACAGCATACATTGACTTTATTATTTATGCCACTAATTAGTTATAAGTATAAATCTAGACCATTTTGCACTGTTAATATGCCAACCAAAATATAATTACACCTTGTAAATGCTGCTAATTGATTTGTAATTCAGGTCAATATTTGCAGACAACCAAAAAGTCCTTGCTTTTCAATCTTCATTGTGCCAATGTTGCAATTTCATTGTTGCTGTCATGAGTTGAAACTGCTTGCTCTAAAGTCTTCATATACAGAGAAACACCTTTTTGGATCCCCTTGAAAAACAAATTGGGCAAGGTTCACCTGACCCTGGCTTACCTGCCAGGTCTTGGAGGCATGTGCCCAATTTAAATACCTCTGTTTAATGGAGTATTCCTGCTATAATTGGGAGTATAGTATGTTTAAATGCAATATCCCTGCTATCTCATAAACGAATATCCCTGCTATCTATTGAAGCCATGGAATATCCATTTGAATTGTGTTCTATGCATACTGGTTATTTCTAACTTAATAATATTGAGCTACAGTAAATGTTTAAGTTCATTCAAAGTTTTTGTGATCTTTTTTTATTTTTTATAAACAGTAAAACGAAGACAACTTTTTTTGATAGTTTTTTATTGTCATAATTTTATCTACAAGTAACAAAAAATGTAACATTCAATGAAGTGCTCAGAAAAATAAAATCTTTTAATATTAATACAAAAATACTAAAGTTCTATAAACAAAGACTTTCAGTCTTGAATTCTGTAACAATTCTTATAATTAATAGCTATATAAGGCCACACTTTCAAGCTTTATCACACATTTCTATGATAACTCTCAGTGGAGCCATTACAAACACACTTTTTTATCTTTTCTTTAATTTTACACTCTAAATTGTTCAACATTAATTATAGCAGGAATGCCAAAACTTTGTAGTATGTTGGGAGAAAACAGTTGTAGATAATAAAGGTTCCAAGGAGCTTGCATTACTAAACTCTCTAGTTGTTTAAAACACTTAAGCTAAGCAAGAGGCAGATTCTGGCAAGAGAAAGGCAAAATTTGCATTTTAATTTAGAAACATGTTTTAAAAGTAACATAAGCATGACAGATTATGGTGATAAAAAAGTTAAATTTAGAACCAAACTAATATGGGAAGGTGAAACAAAATATCTTCAACTTCAAAACTGAAAGTAGATCTAGACAAAGCACCTTTAATATGGCGGCTGATTTAATTTTTCATGTGACTATTCCACTTCAACAAATAATCCAACAAAAAATACTTGTGCTTGTAGACTAAACAAAATGATGATAAAAGAAAACATTTGAAGCAAAGATGAAGATGAAAGTATAGATAACAGTATACATGTAATAAATCCCTGATTACTTGTAACAATTGCATTGATTGGTTTGGAAGAGGATAATAATATGACTTATAATTACATACAGCTGTGTATGTGGCAGATTTTTGGCAGATTTATACACAACTTTGCGATACTGTCAACAAACTTATTTTCCTGTTTATCCCTTCCCAGCTAACTTCATGGTGATTTATTTTCGTGATTTCTTATTTTCTTGATGTATTTATGCTTCTGCTCTTTGATCGGGTTGTTGTCTCTTTGACACATTCCCCATTTCCATTCTCAGTTTTATATAAGGGTAGACCAAAGTTTTACATATTCGAGACAATTTAAATTAGTATTATTTTTCTAGTAGTGAAAGTCGTGAAGATAAATCGCTCACGAAAATGTGTTGGGTTTACAGTAATTGGATCGATTAAGAGCTTGACATATTATATAGACAAGGCTCCGTGTTGAAGACCGTACTTTGACCTATAATGGTTTATTTTTTTAAATTTTGACTTGGATGGAGAGTTGTCTCATTGGCACTCATACCACATCTTCTTATATCTATATATGTCTAATGTTGAAAAACTTGTGGTGACTGTAGATGTTTTTGTGGTGTCAGGTTGCTGTCTCATTGTCGTTTAACACATGTCTCCTTTCATTCATATAGAAAGATCCTTGTATAGTGGTTTTAGAATATCAGCACTTTCAATATTAGTTCCAATATCATTCTTATTTCCAAGGTCTTAGATATCATGTAAAAATGCAATCATAGAATAATATCATGATTATTATAGAAAATGTTTTTATGATGTGTTATAAGTTGTTTACCATGAATATTAAACTCACATCACCAGTAATGCATTTCATTTTAAGATTTGAAACTCAAACAAGTGTTGAACTACATGTCTATGATAATTAAGAAGCTTCTTTTTTTGTTTTTATTTCAGGGGAAAAGGGGTCATATTTTAGGGGAAACTCCAAAATATATAATACAAATTTATAGAATTGTATCTGTAAGTTATATTATTATCCTCCCTGTAGAATTACATAATTACATTAAAAAGAACAATGAGCAAAGAAATTGTATAAGCCATATAACTATATCAAATATAATAGTATATTGCATGTCATGGCTATATGCAGCTTGAAACTATAGGCAGCTGGCAGTTGGTAATATTTTTGTATCTCTACAAAGCAAAAATAAACTAAGGATTAAATTTGAAATTTCTACTGCCAAATTTACAAATCTGTGCATGTAAACCTGGCAGCCAATATTTTCACATTGGTCACGATAATTCAGAAAAGACAAGTGGGTAAAATTTTTAAATATTCAACTGACATATAGGTGTTAGTTCGATTGATTGATTTTTGTGTTTAATGCCACTTTCAGCTCTTCTAGTCAAATAAGATGGTTATCAAACACACCTGCCATGAGGTGGGTTTGAAAAAATAACCAAAAAGTTGAAAGACAAGTGATCACTGTAAATTAACTACTACACCCACATGGCTATTGAGGACCATTACCTTACAGTAGATAGGCATTGTAAGAAGAAGCTTCTAACTGCATGAGTATTGAGGACTAATTTCTATGGTAAACTTTTCATTTCATTCCTAAGGATGATTTTAGAAATGCACCAGAATGATAGAAATAACATGAATTAAAGCAACTGTTAATTGGCAAGGGGAGATAAGGTTCACCAATAAATTGTTCTCAATTCAGGGGAGATCATTTTTCTAGACCCAACAGTAAATCATTTACATCAGTTTGTGCATTATCACCATTTTCTTCCTTTTATTTATTTAAAATGAAAGTATTTTAAATAAATAAGGATAAACACACTGAATGAAAATATCTGTACATCATCTCATATAGTCAGAAATGAAAAAGATCAGATGAACCAGTTAGCAGGTAAGACTAAGGACAGATTTTTGGATTGTGTGATTTCTTTCAAAGTAATGTTATGTGTTTCCACTCTACTGATCTCTACAATAATACATCTAAAGAAGTACATCATATGCACAATTATCTTTATTACAAAAATATGGCACTTTTTTATAGTTGCAAGTCAATATTTCTACATCACTCTATCACATAGAACAAAGGTTTTTAATTGAAATTTCATCCATTAGATATTTAAAATGCTACAAAATACATGAAAAGGATTGCTGAAGAAAAGCTTTAAAGCATCAATGTATAGCTTGGTCAATTCTTAAAATACATGGTGACAATTTTTTACATTAATGTACCTCATCATACATTTGTGGTCCCTTGAATGAAAAAAAATTTTGAACAGTTTTTACATAGGCAAAATGAAATTTTCATTTTAAAAAATGTTCTACTTGTGAAAGTTAAAATAAATGTATGTACTACTTCACACTTCATACAGCTTACTTAGTAAGCTAAATAAATAAAATCCTGACTAAGGAACAGAATTTAAAGAAAATCATATCACTAGTTATCATAAGGCAAAACAAAAATATATGCATATTTCCTGCCTCCTGGCAGAACATTTTTTTTTTCTTTTTTTAAATATTTCACATAGACAATACAGGGAAAAATTCTATATTGGTACTTAACTAAAAAGTTCTGACCTTTAACAGCTCATAACCAATTGTCTGCTGAACTTAAACAGTACTTAACCAAAAATTCCATAAAAATGTTTTAGGGTAGGCCTACAAATTTAGGATACTGTAAATTCGGAAATTATTGCGAGGTTTTTATTAATGCGAATAGTGCGACTGGGTTAGTATTGCAATAATAAAAGTCGCATTCTGATATCTGATACATGCATCTGTATGCAGATTTTCCTGAAATCGCAATAATTAATCTCGCATTATTGTCCATTCTTCATAAATCGCAATAATAAATGCACGCAATAATTTCTGAATTTACAGTAGGTAGGGAGGCAGAAAACATATCTATATTTCTTTTTTGCCATGAAATAATTAAAATTTCATTTTAACAAGTATAAATATTTACATAAACTTAGATCTTATATATACAGCTGTCAACATAAACTATATGTTTGCATTGTGCAAATCTGTTTAATATCTATGATGAATGAAGTTAATATTATTTAACTTTAAAATATGTATGAGATTTCTTAAACAAATGATGAATAAAAGTCATTCATTTCAGCTATTCAATAATCAACATAATTTTTTAAAAGCACCATTTTGATGCCAGGTCCATGCAACAAAATCTCAACTACGACTAGACACTGATTCAGTAGTGATTCATGAAAATCAATTCCATTACAGAACATTTGACAAAATTTCATTTTATGTATGTCTAGTCCAAATATAATCTGACTGAAAACATAAAAAAAACATATTAAAAATAATTTACAATTAATTAATCAAAAAACAAGAAACTTGCACTACATCCAAATGTTAACTCATCAAATTTGTTTTACCATTACATGCTTCAAGGAAAGAAACAAAAAAAGACTAAATTTCATATCTTCTTTAAAATTATAAAATAAAACATTAACAACATATCTTAAGAGTAATTCTTTATAATTCTTAAATTATTTTATCTCACTAGCAAATTTGGTATATTGTATTCAACTCTATTCAACATAATTCTTAAAAATAAAAAAAAAAAAAATACACACATAACAAACAATTAAAACTTAAAAAAAATAAATCAAAACATAATTTTTTTAATAGATGATAATTTACATGGATTCTTGTTTAAACCTCTGTTGTGGAGTCAATGATTTTTTGTATGATTCACAGGAAGGTAAAGACGGAGATGACACAGGGGTATCAATTAGTCCATTCGTAAGATGTAATGTACTGTCTAAGGAACTCATCACTGAATGTCCACTCAAAAACTGATCTGTTGTACAAAGTGGTGGTGTTGGTGTGTTAGCTAATGGTGGCATTCCACCGAGATGGATAGGACTTGATCCAAGTGGAGATCTTTGACTATGTTGTGGTGACATGTGATCTCCATGCGCATGAGAAACTGACATGACATCTGAGGGATTGGCAAACTGGTCCCCAAAACTGTTACCCATTTGTGATGTTAATGACACTGGTACAGAAGGATTGGTCAACATATCTGTAGGAGCTGCACCTATAATTAGAATTTAAAAAGTTATAAACTACAAATCAACAACAGACGGAAATTTCATTTAATATTAAAAGTGAATATCAAATCAAAGAGCTTGGTAGCTCTACATGAAAAGATTTTAATCTTTTTTTACCCCCCTAAGGATCATGTCTCGAGAGGTTGCATAGAAGTTCTACACCATTAGTAAAGTTTGATATTCAGTAGTAGAAAAAGCTTTCACTAATCATTACTGGATAACTCCAAATACATGTTTCCCCATTATTCTGGCCTCAAGCCAATCAGGTAAATTTCTATTGATTTTGTGGACAGCAAAAAAAGAGTGCATAAAGAGATATTTCAAAATTATATTTGTTATAACATTTTACATATCTGACGTGAATATTGAGTTTGTCAAAATCTGGGCTACATATGAAACTAGGCCTAAATTTGGTTGAAATCCAGACAATTTTTGTCACATTTCACAAAAATCTCTACTTTTGGCTTATTTATGTTGTAAATACATACTTTGATATGAGAAAAACAATACAAATAGTTATATTTCACTGATTTTCATATTTTTTCATCATCTTTTTACAACTTGAACAAAATATTTGGGGCCAAATATAGCCTTTACCAAACTAACTCTTTTTTTTGCCCATAAGTCAGTCCTCAGAGCAAATATCAAATTAAAAAATTGTGCAATCTACATTTATAGTGAACTTCAAATATTTAGCTGCACAGCTGATTACTTAATCAGTAAGGAGTATTTAACATCCTACATAAGTATTTTACATTTGATTAGCCATAGATTATATAAATATCACATTTGGAAATCATCCTATCTGCATATTTCACCAACTGAAATCATATGACGAGGGTTATAAATAGATTAGAACAAGTCAATCTGATTGACATACAGACCCTGTTTCATCTGATAACACTATGTTCTACTTTCTGTTTGATAATCATAATATCAACCAATCATATTTCTGTGTCTGAATTTTTAATGGTATGTATCAGTACAACATGAACAAATACCCAGGATCCTCAAAAAGGTCATCAAAACAGAAAGTAAAACAGTGCTGTCAGATCCTTGTTAGCAAAGCATGGACACAGGATCTGTATTTATGTCAGATCCAATAAAAGATATGATTTAAAAAGATAAAATCAATTTTCTTTTATTGCAAAGATAGATGCAAATTATAAAAGCTAGTTCGACAAACGTAATGTCTCCTTCTGTTCAAAAGATGACATAGGTATACACAAAACTATGTGCTGGTTATATAACAAATAACATATATGTAACACTCAGAAACGTGTCCTTCCCCCCAAACATGTCCGATTCCCCCAAACGTGTCTACATCGACGTCACTGAACTGCAAAACATGTCTAGTTGAAAAACAGCGCCAAAGCTTGTCATTTGTATAAACGCCCAAACGTGTCCATTTAAAAAAAACCACCCAAACGTGTCCAATCCCCCAAATATTTCCATATTTTTTTACTGGAATTATCATTCGTGTCAATATCATAAATACGTAAAGATAATAAATCAGACACCTCGTGAAGGGAGAATGTCCCATTGTCTGCGCGTTTCTTACTGAAGTCATAAAAAATCGTTTTTACTCGCTCTTGAATTTTTTAAATTAAAATCCCAACCAGTGTTAATCCCGAATAACCGTTAGAATTTAGGTCTTATTTTAAATTTCCGGTATGATAAAAGAACCTTACCGCATATTCAGCTATAAAAGGCCCCGAAATGACAAATGTATTTTATTGCTTACATGATATCTTTCAAATAATGCATTAAATATTTGGCACTGGACGTTATGTCTCTTGTTCGTGTGTCTTTAGTGATGTTCGAAACCTAAAATTTATTGAAAATCCTGATTCCCAGTTTATGATTTTAAGAGCTTTTAAAATATCAGAACTGTTGAAAGAAAGGAAGTCAATTCTGCTGAAAAAAAGTGCAATATTTGGAGTAATATAAAATGCATCAACGGAGTTTACTAGTACAAAATAATTTACATATTAAACGATTAATTCAACAGTACAAGAATTATATGTATGTTCGCTCTAAATGAGCATGAAATACTTGCAACTGGACAATAATCAATTTCAGTCAAAAGTCAATTCATATGTTACAAATTGAATTTGCAATATTTTTTTTATGCTAATCATTAACAACTGGCATTGAACAAACTAATGCTAATAAATGCCCTCTTCATCAACTTTGTCCCCCATCATAGAAGTGCCGTAAACGTTATTGATTTGGGACATGCATGTATTAGCGGTAAAAGACGTAAGACGTTCTGGCGTGTAATAATGGACACGTTTTGGCGAATAACAATTATCGGACACGTTTGGGGGTTATGAAATCGGACACGTTTGGGGAATATTGAATATTACGGACACGTTTGGGGAGAATAGACACGTTTGGGGGAATCGGACACGTTTGGGGGGAAGGACACGTTTGGGAGTGTTACATATATATCAGAGTTTCTAACAATAATACAGTAGCTCACTCTCATAAGGCCAAAAATTAAGCAGAAGAAAATGTGGCCTTCAACAAACATGCCACCCTTAACAGAAAAAGTGGTTTTGGCCTTTGGTAATTGGTAAAATACAAAGAAATACTTGTATTATGAACATAAAGACGGCCTGATCACTGTGATGCTTTTTTTGACATTATAAGATTTAGACTACTGTACTATTATACTAACCACCTAATAACATTTCTTGGAGTAGACTATCAATCCTGGCCATTCCAAATAACTTGGCAAACTGTATCTGTTCAATCATTTGCCAGGTAATGCTCTGTAAAGCTGGCAACAGTAATAAAATCTCCCCAAATCTGCCTCTTGAGTCATACTGACGATCGTTGATATAATCTTCTAGATTTACTTGTACTTGGTAACGAAAACTTTTGATTTTTTGAGGATCTGTCAGACCTTTAGCTTCTGAAAAAAAATTGGCAATGTAAGAAACTGTGCATTTCATGGTCAATTTCTAGTTCATATGCTATAAAATCAAACTATAAAAGCTTCATCAACATAGAAGAAAACTCCTTTCCAGTTATTATTTTTTATGGATTTTTTCATAAAATATAAAAATGAAGCATACGATTTCCTGCAAATTTGATCATCTGATTACGTAAAAGTATGTTGAAAAGTAAAACAAACATACGATAATAATTTCCATAGCAAGTAAAAGGTATGAATACCTAACTACAATCAAAGCCTATCTTTTTTCCTCAATTCACGTTTTAATCTAATAGTTTATTGGCTTTTGATTGGAGAAACATAAAAAAAATAATGTGTTATAAAGTAGATGTTCAGAAACAACATAAAGTAAAATACTTAGAAAGATTCAGTACATTTTTGCTTTTCTACTTCTTGATTTGGGAACTCCCCAAAAACTAAATAGCACTTATTTCATATCATGTCTTTCTCAACTGAGAGAACAAATTTCTTACTTACCAGGATCAAAGAAAACAATAGCTTTAATACAGGCAAACTCTGTGTCATCTATCTGTATATCTCTAAATGCTGCAACTAACTCGTCCAGTACTCTTGCTGCTATTGTTCCCATTTCCATATCTGTAGCATTCCGTGGAATGATCCCATCATTCCCCAGTAATAAAACATCCTTGACGGCCATGGAACGTCTGGCAACACCCAGGACCAAATGTTCCCCAGCATGAGCCCTCAACAAGGCAACCTAATAATAAAAGTATTAAATGATAAAATATTTTGCAAACCTTTAAGAAAGAAAAAGCATTATTTTTTTCGTGAAATAAAATTGTATTACAAAGAACATTAATATGTTGAACAAAGAGTGTTCCAATAGCAATAGAAATTTAAATCTGTTACAGTGAAATCTTTGATTCATTTCAAAATTTATATCTGTCAAAGTGAAATCTTTCATCCATTTTACTAGAGAAATTTTTTAAAGTGATAATTGCAGGGTGTGGCGCGTAATTGTCCAAAGTGGTAGAAATAATGCTGAGCATAGCGAGGTGAAACTTTTTGACAATTTCTTTAGAAAAAAAAAAGACATTTTTTCTTATTCAAAAACGGGAGGTACGCACTCTATGCCTCCTTTTAATCTGATATTGAATTGTATAAATAAGACTGGCTTTCTATATAAACTGCATTTCATTTTATCGAATGATCTTTTTACATTGTTATAGCTTATATATCAATTTTGTTCTCACCTGATCATCTAATGGCAGTTCACAAAAACACGGTATATATTTTGCCCATTCTACAAGGACAAGTAACTGTTGTTTGATAGATTCACACACATCATCAGCAGTAGCTATAACCTTGTGTGTCAGGTCACACTGTCCAACTGGGGAGGAGATCTGAAAATTCAAAAACATATGGTCATAAATACAGTTCTACATACAGTCAAACTAGCATATAAAGGTCACCCTAAGGGCCAGAGAAAAGTGATCTTATAAGAGAGATGACCCAAATGAGATTTAAAATGCACAAGTATTACTACATCTGTTCAAGAAGAGGGTGACCTGTAAAAACAGGTTTTTCAGTTAATAGAGATGACCTTTATAGCAGGTTTGACTGTATTTCATACATTTGTGAAGGTTATTCCCAAATGTTTACTTAAAATACAGTATTAGTTCTCTTCCTTACATGTTGTGAAAATCTATTCCAATTCCATCACTCAGAATCACACCAATTCATCATTAACAATTCAATTAACATGTAAATATCCTTTTTTTTCTAAATTGTTTTATTTAACTTTCAGATTTTCTCTATCCAAAAATTACTGAGCCAAAAACAACTCATGTATGAACCTATGGAACTGCCTTTTCAACAACTAGTAAACATTTCATTTTTTTTCAAGTGACAAACTGGTCTAAAATTAGCCTTTACCTGTTTATATAATCATGTGCTTTAAATTATGGATCATCCTTGTCATCTGATTTTTATAAACATTAAATAAGGATAAGCATAACAATGTTTGGACTCACCTGTCTGGAGAGAATTTCAGCATTTAACAAAGTACTGACAGAGAGTGAATTGTTTTGACTAGTATCTTCATAACTGGTTCTTCTAACACTGATTCTGTCTCTCTCATTCTGTACAGCTGTCAACAATAAAACAAAAATCCATCAAAATCTTTTATTTTCACAATGACCTTTCTAAAAAGTCCTTTCTAAAATCAGAAATACAAACCAAAGGTTGGAAGTAAATTTTCAGCTTTAATACTGAGTTTGGATCAAAGTACAGCAACGTCAAGTAGTTATGCAAGAGGGTCTGGATGGGGGTCTTTTAATTCTGCATTTTTAAAAAATTTTAAGCCATTTTTGTCTCTTCTCTATATTTTAGTGTCCCTATTCTTTTTTTTTTTGGCCTATTTTTTCTATTCTTTTTTTTTTTTTTTTGCCCTTTTACCCATTATTCTCAATTCTGTAAACCCCATCCAGACCCTCATGCAAGCATTCTTAAGTCTAATTATTGCTCTTTAATAGCAGTAATTCAAATTTCATAAAACATTACTTGTGTCATAATTTTTACAGTAATAATTAAAGACTTTTTAAAAGGCCTATTGTCAAACTATTGAGACTTGGAATGTTTTTTCTGGTATTCTTAGTACATATATTAAAGTTTTATAACTTTGATGCTCCATGTTAACTGGTCATTTGCAATCATTAATAGGTATACCTGTTCTACTGGCTTTTTTCAATTTCTTGTCAGAGGTTGGTGATTTAACATTATCTCTCTGGTTTCTTAAAATTTTAACTCTCATAAAATTTTAAAAATATATAGAGAGTGGCACTAAAACCAATTAATCAAATCAACAAAATCATCATTTTATATATTTGCATTGATTACTGATAAGTCAACTGTTATCAAAGGTAACATTATAAGATGAACTATAATCTAGATCTTTTGATTTTCATCCATCAACACACTGTTTTATTCCTTACCTTCTTTTTTCATCCCTGCTCGGAAACATTTGCGTAATCTGCAGTAACGACACTGATTTCTTTTATCTTTGTCTACAACACAGTTCCGACTAAATCTACAGGAATAAACATGGTTCTTTCTGACACTACGACGAAAGAATCCTTTACAGCCGTCACAACTTGATGCACCATAATGTTTTCCTGTAGCCCTGTCTCCACATATAGCACAATAGGTACTCATCCCTTGGGTGGGGGATGTGGAGACAGACATGACGGGAGTCTGTCCCAGAGCTCCCATACTGAGTTCTGGAGAGTCTGAAATTAAAAATAATAAACTGCATTGAATTATCAATTTCATATAAATTTCTTGTATGTCCTTGTAGTAAGATTTCATGGATATAGGTCAACCACCAATTTAAATGTTCAGCAAAGTGCAAATTTTATAAAGGCTAGTGTGCAGATCTTTTGCACAACCACACAATCAAATATTCACGAACCTACATTTTTCAGCAATCCAAGAAAATTGATACCCTTAAAAATAAATGAATCAACAGTAACCTATGAAGAAGAAGAGAAAGAATGTATTGATGACCAAACTAACAATGTCATACAAAAAGTGTTAACTTTGACCATCTGATACCCACAGCAATATACTTTTGTCAACCAGTAAGTGGGTAGTGTTTGATGATTTATATGTCAGTGATAAATCTAACATTTAAAAAAATTGCAATGTGCACTTATTTCTAAACAAAAATAGCTATTTATTTTAGATATCTATACCATAAAATAAGAATAACTTCATTTCTAATATTTGCATAAATGACTCCTTTCTAGTATGACGTGATTTCAGTTTTATGTATCAAGTATATTCAACAAATTTAACCTAAAAATTTCCCCCATAATTCCACAGTAAGTATTTTCTATTTCAAAAATGAAACCTCCACAAAAAACCACTGTCACTGAATATCAAAGAAAAATGTTTAAACAAAAAAACCTGCTATAAAATCATCTTCATCATCAGTTTCCATCTAAACCAAATCTACTTAAAATGCAAAACCCCATAGTTCTAAAGATCATTTTACACCTATTATAATAATTTAATACTAAAATGGTCACTCTAGTCATTAATACTTAAACCTGTTAGATTTAACATATCACTGACATTACCCACTTATAAAACAGAATAGTCAGTTCAATATGCTTTTTCTTTCTACAGATCATTTTAAACTGTTTTTTATTTAAATAAATTAATAAAACTAATATTCTATGACAATCAGGTTAAAATAAATTATCTTGAAACTTACTGAATGTAAAGTTTGAAGACAAAAATCTTTCCTTAACACTTACATATTAATTTCTTTGATTTTCTTATTTATATATTTTAAAAAATTAACAGGCAAATAAGATTTACTTTCATTTCTTGTATTAATTTTGATAAATATATTGATTCTATCATTTGATTTAATTTAAATAAAAGAAAACAATAACTACTTCAATTCAAAACTAATTTTACAGTTTTAACTAAAAAATAAATAAATCAAAATAAAATAAAATAAAATAAAATATAACAAAAGTCCTAAAAGTACTTAAATAAAAATCCTCCTACCTGGATCATAATAATAGTACTCATGTTCCTGGTGGACTGGTGCATAGTGCTGTTCTAAATAAGAATATAGCATAATGCTAATAGTCTATACTACTAGTATGATTTTTTTCCACAATTAGTAAAAGATTCTGGTCCCTTAAAAGGAGAAAAAGCAGTTCTATCTCTCAGAGCACCAAGAATGGAAAAAGAATCGGTATCAGGAACTACAGTTTAAATATCTTCTACCAAAGATTAAAACAAACAAATTAATCCCTGTCCCAACAGAAAGCTCCTCCCACTTTACATGTATATTCAGGTTTCTGTCACTCAAGGAGGGTCCTTATATACATACTATGTTATTTGCAACATTTGACAAGGTTTTATCTGGAGTTATCACCCTTTATCAGTTAATCTTATATCTTATTGATAGTGAATTATAGGGAAAAAAATCTGGCAGTGACAAAATCCATGACTGGAATGTGTGGCTATCTATCTGGCCACTTCACACCCTTTAACCACATAAGTGGCAGTGCTAGTTTCGGTACAACCATGACCTTTACTTATATTCTGGCACTCAAACAACCCACTTTCAGTCAATAGGGAAAACCCAGACCAATCGCAGAATTATTTGACAAGAGATTATGCCATTCCCTGTACTATCTAGCAATCTTTAAAAAAAACTGTAACACAAATTCCCATGTCAATCAACAGATAATCAATTTCAATTGTTTTCTGAAAATGAAGTGATGGACATGTTTTAGCTCACTAGAGCTTGTTTTGATAATATCATTTTCATAACCAATAAAAATGCTAATATATCTTTCGCATTGATGATAGGAGCAGGGGCATTAAGTCCAACTTTTGGATCAAGAATCATTAAATACTCTCATTTCATAAAGTAATAAATAAATATAATTTGATGCAGTTTTCAATGTATATTTGCTTTGAGGCAACACCATGTATTTTCAAGTGACAACACTTTTTAGAAGTATTTCAAAATTTCAAAACACATATTCACCATTTTTGGATGGGCTTGTTCTTTTCCAGAAAATTATTTTCATTTCCTTAACACCACTTCACTAATCATTATGTAATTTTAATTTTGACTTTAAAATTTGCATTCTATTGGCCAAAAATAACTGTGTCAGTGATATTAAGATCTTTATTTTTTTCTAACTGCTTTTTATCCTTTTATCATATCAAATGAACATTAAATGCACATCATTTCCATACTTTTTGCATGCACATTAAAATTCGGTTTAACTCAAGACCAAGTGTATTTAAAAATGAGCTCCAGTGACCTAGTTTTATATTTTTCTGAAATTAACCTGGTACATACTATTGGCTTATAATGTATTAAAACTTATTAAAGTGAATAATCAATTTCTCACCCTAAATTTACAAATATGTTATCATGTTATGATAAATTTGAAGAATAAAACAATGACATCAACTATTTTTCTAAGAACAAGTAGCTAATTCACAGAAGAAAAAAAATATTTTTTTTTACATATTCTATGAAATTCTTGTTCCTGCACAATAATATTAACAGTATTACTAGTAATTCAAAGGAAGGGGAATATCTTAAATGGTTGCTCTCTAAATTCATTTTTTATAAATCATTTTTTAATTTTTAAAAATTGATTAGCTGCCTTTAATATGCAAATGCGCATGCAGGTACAATAATTTATATTAAATTGTTTTAGAGTTAAAGTCAGACATTCAGAAATGACCTGGTGAAATGCCTTAATTTTCTGCTAAATATTCAATGTAAAAAATATCAAAATTCTTTAAGTTTTAGTTTTCATGAAATACAAATCTCAATACACAAATTTAAGTGAAGATTTCCTTTGACAGAGCATGACTTGTATGTAAGTGAGATCAGATTGCTACTTAAAACCAGATTCAATCTCTTATATCATATTTTGTGCAAAATTGTGTTGTAATTGTATCTTTGTATTTCTTGTTTTGCAAATATTGCCTCAAAATGAGCTCTTCAATATAAAGATGTAAACAAAAGGTCATAAAATGGATTAATGCAAGCCCAATTTTACTTGCTGAACTTAGTAAATCTTTTCTCTGTGTGAATTAACTTATATAACCACAATAATGTTTACAAACAAACTATCTATCTTTCAAATACTCAAAATACTACTACAATAAACACTCCTGCCTTCCACCTACACCTGAAAACCAACCAAAACAAAATTACTTTTTGCTCATTCAACAATATTTCACAACAAATCAAGTATAAACCTTACAGAGATTGTCACACTTGAAATGTCCTTCAAAACAGATTATCCATGATGAAGTATTATCAGAGCTGTGTTTGCATATATCTCAGATCAGCTATAATACTGATCAAAATACCTTTCATCTAGGTGAAGGAATTAACAGCTAGTTATCCCAGTCTACCACAGGTGTTACAAAAATCAGTGTCCCTCGGTCATCTATAAATGTCCATCGATTTTCCCAGGATTGCACCTTCACGAAAAATAACTTAAAACTTGTTACTCCTCGAAAAATGTGTAAGGCATGATCTTTCCGTCAATAATCAATCATAAGGAACAGGTCAATTATGTAAAGAGAAAATCAATTTCAGGTTAAAGAATCAGTCATCTAGAACTTAATTAGGGACCCTTTATTGTAATTCTCACCTAAGATAATATTGCATAAATGTATGTAAGTTATATAAATTCTCACATTTAATTAAGTGACATTGTCCATAATCTAAATACACCAACCATAAACTTTATAACATCTATATATATCTTTTCACATATTATTAAGGTCTTTCCATAATCTGCTTTTCTTCACCCCTACCCCCTTTTTCTGAAGGATTTTGTATAATAACAGAAAGGATGAGTTATCTTTCTTCACAAAGGTCTACCCATAGAATTACTTATGAATGTGCTTACCGCAATATATCTAGTAATTGCAAAATTACCATATAAGATGAAACTTTTGTTAAGAAGATGATTGGAACAATGCAAAATTTATGAAAGTACTTCAAACTTGGCATAAGTCCAATCAAACTTGGTTTGGACCAGTAAAAAGTTCTCTTTCTCCAATAAAGCTCATCCTTTCTTTTAGTGTTCCTTATTGAACCACTATCTCATGTATATTTGCCCAATATCCTTTTTATTTTCTGTGTTCCTTATTGGGCCCACTATATTTCATGAACATTTGTCAAATACCCTTTTTTATGGTGTTCTTTATTGGACCAAATGTCTCGTGTACATTCATCCTATACCCTTTCTCTAACTTTCTTTATAATGGAAGTGGGACCCTTTCTACAGTTCTTAGGATTTACTATTGAATTTCTATATACATGTATATGTTAAAAGACAACCTGAAACTTCACAATTTTTAAGATATACACATACCTAAAATATATGTTATTCCTTCAAAATTCATCATTTACAGCCAAAACTTAATAAACCACATCTAAACCTTAAAACAGCAAATATGAAAGTAACGTGTATTTAGAAAATGGTAACATCTAAATTAGGTTATTGTCCTTGATGATAATTAATCACTACAGGTAGAAATGATGAGGTGAAAACGATTACAAATTATCATTTGGACTTTGACTAATTATTGTCATAATACTATATATAGTAAATATAGATAGATAGTAAAGGGGGACTACTTCACCGTTTTATCAAATAATGCATTTGACATCTGATATTGCAGGCATATTGCACTATTCTGGGTTCAAAAACAAGGA